ATCAGTTTGGACTGCTCTGACTTCTCTCCATGCGGCTCCTTCAACATGCACTGGTAATCAGTCGCGTACTCAGATCTTCTGCCGCTAGTGCTTTTGTTGTCTTGCTGCTCAAGCCAAAACAAATTCTTTTCCATTGCACACAGCTCGGCCTGGAGATACAACAAATGTCTTGCATTGAGTCCGTCAAATCGAAGATATATGCCGGTTTCAGGCTTGAATGAGATGCGTTCAGATAATCGAGGATAACCGACGGGGTGGTGCGTCCAAGCTGGCAGGTAAGGCGGAGCTTTTCTGGAGTCTCTCTCAATTTTCTCCGCGGCTTTCTCTAACATGCTGGTAGTTCTTGAGGGAAGTTGGTATAGAGGCTTCGCTGACGCATAGCAGCGTGCAGAAAACGTCGCTCTAAGGATCGCCCTCGAGTTGTACACTAGCGTACCTTGTTACAATTACACTGCGTTCTGTGACTCTGTCTGTGTAAAGCTTCCCCAGCAAGTTGTCGTGCGCCAATTTCCGGTCGTACCACAGGGTTAGATGTTTGCTACAAGTCGACAAGCATAGTGCGACCATGATCTGTGACTGGAGCATGGCGCTTACATTTAGTAACAGCTGCGACCAGGATGCAGAACATACCCTGAACATGCAATCTTCGCTGCGAGTACGCCTCAAATTATGCTTTGTCTTTGACACTATAGAAATAGCGGTACTTTTGTTTTACGGCTAGTTTCTCGGTCTATGCGCTTAGATCGGTCATAATTCAGGAAGGGTCTGAATCAGACCGGATATAAAAGTATTTTCGGCTCCTCTCGAGATTCAACATCTACCTCCATGTTCGCTCATGGAATCTATACCCCTATTTTACGTCGAGTCTGCATCTCAAGACTAGAATTTGCATCTCTGATGCCGTTGCAGGCAGGCTTCAATATGCAGAATCAGCAAGAGCATCACCGTATGTAGCATGGATCTAACAGCAACCTATTTTGCATCAGCGAGGTTACGCATCGAATTATAACTCGTTATATTGTGGAATAACCGCCAACTCATGACCACGTCTGGTGGAAGATGTGCGTGTGAAAATGTTGTCATCCGATGGCTTAGAGAAAGCAAGCAGACAGGATATATAACACTCCAATAGCAGTTTCTAAGTATCTGATACTAAATTTGCGAGAGACGCAGAAACAAGTTATTACTAGCAATGACATTGTTTGGATCACGGAAGAATATCGGGAAGAAATCATTCCCAAGTGAAGGTCATAGCGGTTCTCGTGAAACCCCTGACAAGCCGGATACACTTGAGAATCTCAAAAAGGCTGACGATAAGAAAGTAGAAAAGGCAGCTCGGGAGCGACTTGATAGCGAAACCGATCATGGTTGGAGTTGCGGCGGCATTTCACCCATAGTTGGCCCCTGCCATATCAACTATTGTGGAGACGATCATTCGCTCAACGTACCATGCGCCAGCACGCTGAACGTACCATGTGTCAGCGAACATTGTAAGCATACTCGATGTAATCGTTGCTGGGACGCGCGAATCTTTGATTCGGGTGCGGAACAGAAGGTGGATAGCATCGTGGATAATTTCGCAACCGGTTGGTTCCATTCCAAGGTTCAGTGCATGACGTATCATGCTGGTATAGCCCCAGGTAAGCATTGCGCGAGCTGCAACCACTCGGCTGCCGATATTTTCAGGTATGTATGTCTATCACAGCCTTCTGTAAACCCAGGTTATAGAGGGAGAGGAAGATAAATAAGCGGCGTTATTACCTAGGTAGACATGAATGCGAGTTCCAGGAGCGGCATTGAGTGCCTGGCTTCTACAAAAATAAGTAGTCTCTCAGGAAAACCGTCTTTATAAATGCATATAGCAGTTCACATGATCGTGCATTATAATGTCAGCATGATCCTCGAACCATCTGGTTGTTTTTTTAAGTTTATGTAGATGACATCCTTTGGTCCATGATCTGATGTTTGATCAGCGAACGCTACTTTTACAGCTGCGAACCTGATCAATTGTCAGTACTCTTCGTGAACTATGGAACTGTGCACTTATTTCTTGTACATATAATCACGTTGTCAACTCATCCTACGCCCACGTAAAGTGACGTTTTGACTACTATGGAGGTATCCTTTAGTCAAGGTACAGATGCCGCCTTGAACGCCGTGGTCTACTTCAACAGTAGAGATGTTTTGGTATACATTATGCCAATAGTCTCCAAATCCTAACAGTTCGGTGTGTCTCCAGCTGAGTGCGACCTAGGCATAGGAAAACGAAGAAACACCGATCCTACAAGTATTTGACAATACATGATTGATGTAGAGCCTCGAGTGATGAGGCGGTGGTCATGCGTGATGTGCATCATCGGCTTGTGTAAACCTACAGTCCCTTCTTTTAGAAGCTGATGACGCCTAGGGCAGGCCGTGGCATATCTGTCGGGATTTAGGAATGTTGTGGACACCTTTTTGACCAGGTGGAAGTCACCAACTGTTCTCATTTTTCCCATGAACATTTCCTTCTGATTTGCATATCAATCGCACCACTCGACGAGCTTGTCAACGCAGAAGCAAAACATTGCTGTAGGAATCGACATCAAAAAGTTAGCAGGGAGTGGTTAGTTTCAATGCAGCATAAGTCATGCGCTGGTGTCGAGTTGAAGGCGTCGTTAATCTTCACGGTTGGGCTTGGGCCTGCGGGCTAAATAAGAAAGTATGTATTATTCGCGAATTTGAAGACCATGTCAAACGGCCCGCTGTCCACGATACCTTTCTATCGAAGAAAAAACCTCTGGAGAAAGAAACAAGCATCCTTTTTGACGCATGATCCATCTAGAAGATCTCTTGGTCGTCATACGCCCTCACACTCTCTAGGCGTTCTCTAACCTTCTTCGGATCCTTGCAGACATGCTTACTGTCCCAACCATCACTGCCACCATTGTGGTCGGGAAATGTCGTCTCCAGCCCTTCAAGAGCCATATCCGCGCTACACATGATAGCTTGGCGCATGTAGTCAAAGCAGTGGATCATGTGCCAGTGATGGTCTTCTTCAAGCTCATGACCTGAAGTCATACCGGAATAGACTGCGACGACAGCATAGAGGCAGTGGAGCTGGTGGGTCATGGATGTCGTGAAGACAGTAGCGTTGGGCCAGACGATGGGAGTGGGAAGGTCGTGGTAGTTCTCTGGGTCAGGAATGCTCTGAAAGCCCATGCCGACTGTGTGGGGCGTTAGTGGAACCTTTGAAGAATTCGGATGTTAGGGGAGTCGTACCAGGCAAGAGTTCGTTCCATGCTCGAAGTACTTCGGGCTTGAAGAACTCCGATGTGTTGTAGGGTGCAAATGTCTGGTTTATCTCGAACTTGGTGATCTGCGTTGGGACTGCATGGCTGTTAAACTGGGTACGACAATGGATCGAATAGTAAGACTCACTATGTGGGGACCATCCGGTGATATCGCCACCTACATCGTTGGCGCTTGTTGAACGTGCCTTCCACCGTGTTGAGTCGAGCATGCCTTGATCTCTGGCCAGCAACCCGATGATCACGAGCTGCAACCCTATCACCAATATCCATCGCATCGCTGCCACCAGCGGCGGGCACATTATTCTTCTTCTTGACGGTGGTGCTCTGCTGTGATATTCGCCTGCTGCCCATTGCTTCTCTCCCCCAACCAAAGATTCAACCTCCGTCGATGAGTCGTCATCATGGTGATGGTCCTGCGAACGTACATCTGCGTAGTGGTGTTGTGGCTCCATCATGTCGATTAGTAAGTTGGTGACGCCAGGTCAATCGTAAACTTGGATATTAAAAACGAAAGTGAGCGCAGCTGAGGAACCAAAGGCAGCGGCGGCCTCCGTACAGATGTACTCGTACGTCAAACATGCTGGCCCACACCGAAACGCTGAGGCTGTGGTTCCTGGTCGGAGCTGTCATTGCCATTCATGGTAGACGCCGGCGACAGCTCGATGGGTAGTTCTAAGCGTGAGTTGAGAACGCTGAAACGGGTTCCTGGATACGCGATACGTGGGCTATGCCAAGTTTCGTTAGATCGCCGGGATGAAACCGAGGATGAATCGCCAAGAGTATGAAGCTATCTCGTCTTCCGCCTCAAGCGAAGATAGCGTGAAACCCAATGCAAACATCGAGCATGAATGTTTGTATGTAGTCAAATGCAGTTGGTGTTGGTTCACATATTCTTGAAGCGTATTGCCGGCTTGCTGTCTCCTTACTTCGACAAAGTAAAGGGACTTGATAATGACAATTGAACACAATACTAGAGTTATTACATCAGAGAGGGATAGATTACTTGTGCGATCGAAAGGCACAGAAGAAAGATATGATGGGTCTTGGAGTGAAGCGTAGCGTAGGGTGAGGTAGCTGCAAGAGCTAGGAAGCAAGAGGGGAGAATTCGAGAGATCAGATTCTGTGACTAGAGAGGCAAGAATATTTCGATATATCGGTATTTGAGGAAGGCCTTTGTGTGTGTGGCGGAATATGCCATACCCAAACTACGATAGGTGGACTACCCGAACATGCATCAGTTTCCGGTCGCACGGTATGACAGCTGTAGCCATGTGATGTCTTGTAGGACTTCATAGTGGGTGTCTACATCGTATTCGTCGATTCCGCAGTGCTGATAGCTGATCTCAGTCAACCCAACAACACAACATATGGTTAGTGTCGCAGCTACCTGCGCGCATCCATCGCATTCTCTCAACGGTCCCGTGAGATTACAAACTACACTGGTAAGTTCAGAGATGTAATCTAGGCTTGCGACACAGATGTCGGGCGGGGTCCAGGAAGGAGTAGCCCATCGCATCTAAGCTTTGGCATGCAAACCACGTAACACAATGGCCATGGTAACACACACACAGCAACAGACTGTGGCGACATGTATTGACATCCGCGAGTTTGGCTTGTTGTTGCGAATGTCAAAGTCAACTCTGCCCACCCGGGATAGCGTTGAAGATGGCGAGTCCGTTGGGGGTCGTTGTCTCTCAGAAGCACGACTCATCGCTTGACACACAAGTCGCTCCTGATGACCCATTTCTCGCCGCCGGTGACCTCACGTCCTTCGTGCAGCATGCAGTCTGCGCCATGTCGGTGCAGTAGCGCAAGACCAACTTCAAGGTCGACAACGAGGGGCTCAGGTGGCGGATCCCGACTCTTCTTTCTTGGCAGGTCTGGGTAAAACACCGTCTCTCCACCCATGCAGCCTGTTGCTGGAGAGGTGAGGTATATTAACAAGGTCCAGGTGGTACGCGCTGGTACCGGCTGGGAACCAGAGGGCTGGATCATTACATTATTGGAATCATCATCTGACTCTGTTAGCAATTGGTCTATGACTGTCAGATGGCTTTGAACAAGTCGTTCAGTAGGGATGATGTACAATGCTGATCGAAGAACTGGCCCTTGGAGTACCTGTAGATGCGAATATTCTGGTTCAAGCCAAGCACCTCGCCGCCCCACAGGTCCTTCCGCTGTTCTACACTGAGACCAAGCGCCCCTTCCTCAACATCTCCGCTGACCAGCTTTCTTAGCCCGGTCTGGCTCCACAGTCGTTCAGCGAATGCGGGATCATCAATCTGGTAGCGGTCGTTCACGCGCACCGCATCACCTTTCTTAGGCTTTCCGGGCGTAGTCGTCAGTGGTAGTGACGACAGGAAGGAAACGTACGTCTTGCATAGTGACGCTGTGAAGAAGTTGGGGATAGTGACGATCTGCTTGTGAAGCACCTCCTGCAGGGCAAGGTCCTCTTGTGGTACGAGAGGAGTGAAGGCAGGCCAGTTGGGGGGCTGTCTCGCCGGTTCAGACGAGGGTGCTGGCCGGCTAGATGCGCCTTGCTGGGTCTTCTTCTTGGGTGCCATGTAATGGACGCTTACTGGCAAACCGACGGGTAATGCAGATGTCTTGGTTCTGTATTGCTGCGATTGGTGCGGAGGGTGAAAGTTTGGATGGATCGCTCCTTCTACCAAAGAGCGGCCAAGGGTGCCGAAGAGCGCGTTCACCTGCGAGGCTGTATCTTGTTTGGAGAAGTGTACACCCTCTTCCCACAGTCTTTTCACGTCGCGATCCCGCCTGCGCCGTCACTTCTTCTCAACCTGCTCTTGCTGCCACCAGAGTCAAATGCACGGACGATGAATCCAACAGATGGAGATCCAGAGAACGAGGCGCTTTTGCGGCCGCTCAGATTGGAAGATATTTTCGATGCACAGTCGATGTTCATCTCCCAAGCATCAAGTTGGTCTTTCTCATCGGCGCCGGACCGTGTTGCGGAGATGGGCGGCCAAGACCCACGTGCAGCAGGATTAGGCCCGGCGCAAGCCTCTCATGAGCAGCGTCGACCGACATCCTCCGAAGACACCAACCCGCTGCGACAGCACGACGAAGGCCCTTTGCAAACAGAAGACCGCTTAGGCAAGAGCAGCTCCGCCTTCTTCGGACCTCACCTGGCCTGTATGTATTGCGCGACACCGCGACGCGGTTTGCTGGGCGAAAAACAAGCGCGCCGCTAACCACCTGCAGCGGACGGCATCCTAGACCACTATTCCCTCGACTTTGACTTCCCTTTCGCACTCCTCTACGCACTTCCCGACGAAGATGGCGGCGGCAGGATGGCCGTAGCCCCTTCTAACGAGCTTTTACACCATGTCACCCCCGAACATGACACTCCCGACGCCCTTCTCTCGCCTGCCCCCGATAAGCGCATTCCCGACATGGCAGCCGCGACCAGCGATGCGTCGGCCATGCCAGCCCTCGGCGGCGAGAAGCCATCTGCCGACCACAACATGATGGACACAACCCTCACCAACGGACTGCCGCTCCTCGACACACCCATCGACTTTGCGCAGTCCAACAACCTAAATGGCGCCGACATGACCGCCGACATGACTGCCATGCCCATGGACATGACGACCGCCTTCCCGCCCATGAATGCCTTCATGCCGCCCACAACCAATGAGCGCCTCACGGCCTTTGCGCGTCTGCGCTTCGATGACGGCTCCTACTACATGCATACCTACCAGATCACCCTGGGCCGCAATCTCGATCTCGCGCACAGAGACATGAAGCGCCTCATCAAGGCCGAGGCACTGCACGCAAAGGGCCATGTGCAGGCTGCTCGCGAACACTTGACTGGCATGGACGAGGCCAATGCGAAGAAGGACAAGAAGAAGAAGAAACACAAAAAGGGTGGCGCCCGTAGCGTCATCTCCGAGAAGGGCGGCATCCTCAGTGCACCCATCGAGTCGATGCCCATGGAGTACCAGCAGCGTCGCCAGAGCAATGCGTCGCACTCTCTCAGCTCAAATTCACACCCCACGGGCGAATCTGGCGAGGAAAAGCCTGCCGAGCGCGCGCCACAAGACATGATCATGCAGGCCTTCCCCGAAGTACCTGCCCAATTCGACGGCCACGTCCCCGAAGACCCCAACGACTGTCCATTCGTGCCTATACATCCCCAGCAGATCGTAGCCAGGACAGGATCGTTGGGTCCCAAAGGCATATCACGGGAGCATGCCAAGATCTTTTTTGACTTTGACGCGGGTCACTTCTGTATCCATGTCCTGGGTAACAATGGTCTGCATCACGAGGGAGACTTTTATCCCAAGGGTGAAACTGTACCTTTGGATCATGGCGACCACTTGCAGCTGGGTGCTGTGAACATACACTTCTTCCTCCCAGACGTCGCGCTCACAGAGCAGCAACGCCATCGCCAGGAGTCTGGATCGCGACCTATGAGTTTCTCTTTCGAAAATGGGAACGGTCAGTTGGAAAGTGACGAGCATATCAGTTCTGAGAGCGAAGACCAGCAGAGCGTCAACCCGCGCCATGTCTACTACCACCATCCTGTCAGTGACAGCGATGACGATGACGGACTCGCCGATGAAGAAATGGACGATTATGAAGAACCTGCTCCTAAGCCGCGGCAGAAGACAAGTCTCAAGCTCAAGATAAAGAATCTGCCTCCCGCTCCCTCGAAAGAAAGCAAGAAAGCGCACAAGAGGAAGCATCAGCAGCGCGAACTCACGCCTGAAGAGCCACCAACAAAGAAGGTCAAGCTCAAAGTCAAAGACACTGCGAAGCTCAAGGAAGCGATTCGTGAATCTACGAAGGAGCCCAAAATTCAGAAGGAGCGCAAAGAGCCCAAGGAACCAAAGGAACCCAAAGAGAAGGAAGTTGCGCCGCCCAGAGAGCCCAAGGAACCCAAGGAAACCAAAGAGCCGAAAGACAAGGGCAAAGCACCAGCCAAGACTCCCGCAAAAGCGCCTGTCAAGGACGAGACGCCAGTCGAGGAGCCCGTCAAAGATATCCCCATGGCTCCAAAGCCCGAGCAGCCAAGTAAGCCCCCACCGAACGATAGTCCGCCTTTACTACGCAAGCCACACGAAGGCGAACTCGAAGCCGGAGATATCGATGGGCTCATTACGGAGGAGATGGCTCTCCAGCACAATTTGCCACGGAATCTTATCGGTCATGTCGTTGAGAAGCGCAAAGGACCAGGCAGACCGCCCAAGGATGGCATCATGTCAAAGCGCCAGCGTTCGCAGCTCATTAAACAGGCTAAGGATATTGAGAGGGCAAGAGCTGCTGGCATCGACCCAGCTGACATTCCGATCCCGACTATCAAGCCGAAAGCACCCAAACGCAAAGAATCAAATGCTGGCGATGGCGAAGATGATGGAGTTATGGAGACAACGGAGCAGGGCGATGGTAGCTTGTCCAGTCTCCAGAAACAAACGAAGCCCATCAGACCGCCTCGGACGCCTTCACCTGAGATGCGCATTGAAGACTACACCGAGGAACAGCTGCAACGACCCACAGCCAACTATGTTGTACTGATCCACGAGGCGATCTCGTCTTCACCCACTGGCCAGATGAACCTTCAATCCATATATACTTACATTGAGCGGAAGTATCCTTGGTACAAGTTCAAGACTACTACGAGCGGTTGGCAGTCTAGTGTGCGCCACAACCTTGGTCAGCACGACGCTTTCATGAAGGGTGATAAGGAGGGTAAAGGCTACCTTTGGAGAATCAACCCCGAAGTCTCGATCGAGAAGGAACGCAGGAAGAGGCAAGCCAGTCCTCCTCTTAGCAATGCTCCGCGACAGTACTACCAACCACCGAATGGATATCAGCCGTATCCCCAGCCTGGATACCCGTATCACCCGGGCATGCCTCATGCGATGCCGCAGCCACCACCACCAAGACTGCCACCTAGTCTCGCGCAACCTCGCTTACCACCCAGCATGGCTCGTAATGAGAGTAACTCAGCTGCATCGAACACGTCTCAGAACGCACCCCATCCATCGCCTTATGCGTCCCCTTGGGGCGGCGGTGGTAACACTGCTGGGAGTCCGCCAGCGCCCAATCCTCCACGACCGTATCCGCAGCCTAACTCGCAGGCTCCGCCAACTTCCTCAGCAGCCGGTTCGAGTGGTCAGTACGGCGTTCTCTATCCTACAGCTGCTCCACAACAATCGCCATACAGCCAACCTCCGGCACCCAGTCCATACGGTGGTCCATATGCTAACACTGGCGCGAGCCCGTATGGCCCTGGTCCGCCTCGTCCCTATGGAGCATATCCACCACAAAGTCAGCAGTCGAATGCTCCTCCGGCATCGCAGCCACAGCCTTCAGCGTCGCCTTACGGTCCGCCTCCGTCTCAGACGCCCTCACAACCAGGGCCTCCTAGCGACGCTTCGGCACCTCATCCGTCCGGACGTTACCCGATTGGAGTTCATCCAGACCTCATTCGCCAGCTCGAAGCGTACCGTCACGTGTACCTTGACAAGAGGCCAGGCCCTGAGGAGCAGAAGAAAGTGGACAACGCCATCAGAGCTTGCGTAGACAGAACCGTACCTGAATCGACATTGACGGACCAAGAAAGAAAGTTGCTTATATCCATCTGCGGCGTGGAGAGCATTAACAAACATGTCAAGAGGGCACCTGATGTCAAAGATGAAGATGAAGCGAGTACTGCGGCAGCGTTCGCCGCAGCAGGTGCAGCGGCAAACACGATGGCTCAGCAATACCAACCAGCACCACAGTCTGCAAATCCGACGGGCACCGCGTCCCCAGCACCGACACGTGAGAACAGCGAACCGCAGAAGTTTACGCCAAACATGACTGGTGCATCACCAGCTCCTCCCATGGCGCCTTCACATCGTCCCAGCGTCGAGCCCATCACGCCTGTGCCTGGTTCGCCAGCAGTTCAAAATGGCACCCCGCTGCGACGTCCAATGACCGAGTTGACCGCAGACAGCGCACCCGGCGCAGAAGAAGCCAAGAAGACGGAGAACAGTCAAGATGTATCGAAGAAAGCTGAGTAGCTTTTATTCTTACGGCGCCTTTTCTATTCTTAATACGCTCGTTTTCAAAACTTCCTCGCCTGGCCTCTGCCTATGCTTGTCACTTGTTTCTCTCCCCTCTACTCGGCGTTCCAAGCCTGTTTGGAGCTAGCTAGCATTTGAGTTTGGCGTTTTAGGCGGAAGCATTTTGGCTTTGCCAACATTGATACCCTTGACAGCGTAGCTTGGTTGGGGGTTCTACTAAAAGTGAAATTTCGCGTAGGTTTTTACGTCGAATATGGGATATATGCGTTATGGTAAACATGACTGTTTCGAGTAGATAGATGACAGCGACAAGCAGCGGTAGCATCGCATCGGCCATAAAAATGATATACAATTCTATAAACTTTGGGTGTCTGGTCATGATCGTGTAGTATGTGGTGTGTTGATACGGTACAGTGCTGCCTAGCCCGGCAACTTGTTTCCAATGTAGCAGAGAAAGCACCCTCTTTCAATCTCGACGCGCGTTCAAGAGCACAATTATTTAAGCATTTATGGATGCCTGATCTGATAAGCTGTTGCCTGATGGGGTACTTTTGCGGTCGGAAACATGGCGCACAGTACACAGCTGTAGCTGATGAAATAATGAAGCTTTACACGTAAAAAAAAAAAAAAAGGGCCAAACGGTAAAGAGTCTGGTATTGCCTGCGTATCTCGTAGGTAGAGTAGGTGCCTCGACACAAATCCAAAGCCCAAATGCTGCGATTATATATAGAAAAGAAGAAGCTTAAGCCCAAGATGCCGCTTCTGTTGATGTCGCCGTACGCCTGAAAACCCCGCCACTCGGATTCGCTATGCTCATTCGATAGCAATAGGTTGAGCTGGCACAGCCGCTTACATGGCCATCTCAGCCTGTAGCTTCCGCAACTCCTCCTCTTCGTCGTCCTCTTCAACCCGCTGTGGTGCCTTGGGGTTGGTACTTGGTGCCTGTGGTAGCTTCTGTGACGATGGGGCATCGTGGATGGGCACGTTGCCAGTGTTGAGCATTTGCTCGTCGAGCTTTTCTTGTTGTAGCTCTGCGAGTTCCTCGTCCAGTTCGTCTTCGTCGATGCCGTTGGAGGCGACGCCCGAGGTGATGGCTTCGCTAATCTCTTCGCCGATTGCGTGTTGCTCGCGGAGGTCCTCCCTGCCCACATGATTAGCAAACTATTCGGTGAGGCTTGTTTTGTGCAAAAAGCGTACATGACATTGTCGACCTTGTCGATGGTCAGGCCGGAGTGTATCTGCTTCATGGCGTTTCCTGCATTCTTCATGGCGTCCAGCGTCTCCTTGTTGATATTGGCCGTCTCGATGGAGTAGATCTCCCTTTCTAGCGTCATGATCTGTGAACTGGTCTGCTCGAGTGAGTGCTCGAACTGCTTCTTTCGCCGTAACGCCGACTTGGCAGCTATGGCAGGCGTCAGCGACAACAGCAGAAAGCGGGATGCATGCGAACTTGCCTTGCTTGTTGGTAGAAACGTGTTTTCGCGCCAGCGCATCTTGCTCATCCATCTGATTTTGCAGGTGCTTCTCCCGCTTGTTCAGCATCTCAAGTTGGCCTCGAAGCTGGAGGATGGCCTTCTTTGGCGCCTCCTTCTTCGCCTGGCCACCGCCAAACCAGCCCAGGCCCCAGCCGCTCATGTTGAAGTAGTTCTGGAGGTCTTCAGTTAGCAACTTTGGTTCGCTTGACGCTATCGCAAGCCGATGCAGCTGACTCGAAGCCTATCAGAGTGTGGGTTGGCGGGGCTGCGGGGGGGCGGTGCGTAGTTCGCACGTACTTTGTAGGAATTCGTGGGGTTTCCGAGTTATGGCAGGTGAGGAGAGTTCGCAGAGGTTCGTGTTGTTGGAGCGGCGGCGTTGGAGTGACTGAAGGGTGCCTGGCTGGTCATGAATCGGGCCTGGATGCACGAGGGTATGATGTCGTCCGCGCTAACCATGGCACGTGCATCTCGGCTCCGGTTTCCACCGCCTTCTGCGGCGCCTTCACCACCATGTCTGGCCCCGTTGCCTCGAATTTGGTGCTGCTGGGTGACTTGCCCGCATGCGCGCAGGGCAACAAAGTCCGCTTTCTGGGCTGGTGCACCGAGTCGTTCCCGATCACGTCGCAGAGACTAACTGTATCGCAGCATCGATGACTACGTCACTGAGACCGCAACACTGCGCCTTAAGCACAACTACCCGACATCTAGCCCGCCCGTCATCGCGAACCTCGATGTCCAACACGTACTGGAGCGCATCAAGCATCTCGACGTAGATATCGGCACATGGCTCAACGTCATCGGCTATGTCGAGCGCAGGAAGGAGCAGGGCGTCTTTGTACAGGCCGTCACTGTCTGGAATGCCGGCAATGTCGACCTCAAGGCGTATGAGAAGGCCGTTGAGGCGCGCAAGGCCGTTGCGTAAACGTCGCCAGGCTCATGTATTATGCTCATGCACGCTCACCCAAGCAACGGTCATAGTATGATTGTGCAACACCAGTATCTAACACCAGATGTGAGGTTCTCGCTGCAGGACTTTGCCAAATTCAGGCTTGTTTGACAGATGGAGAATTCAATCATGAATATGGTGGGACACTACAAACAACGCAGTCTGAGATCAAATCACTATACTGCCTGAAAACAAACACTTGAAACGATTGATTCCACCGTCCTATCCTGCATGCTGACTGACTGCTGATAGCCTTACGTTTTCATTTGGAAGCATGTTCCAAGGTGACTTCCAATGGCTTTTTATCCTACATCGCCGTTAGCATTGGTTACCGCAGGATCCGATCATACGATAGATCATACCCAAAATATATATGTGCACTGCTCTCCCCAATCCCACCTATCCAGATCATCCTTTAACCTGATATTGAAACTCCACAACAATCTCGCAAGTATCAGTCGCATCTCGTTGTAAGCAACCTTGGCACCTATGCAACTATGTCTACCCACCATAAAAGGCGCAAACGCAGCCATGTTGTCTTGTTCTGGCTTTGGATGTAGGAATCTCTCTGGTATAAAGGAGTTTGGGTTGCGGAAGTTGCACGGTTGTCTATAGGCGGAGTATTGATTGTAGGTCACGTAGGTCTATTCAGAAGAGTTTAGTTAGGTTGAGGTAGTATGGGAGCATGAATCTCTTACGCCTTCAGGAACCCATTGGTCGCACACAGTATCTCCGCCTTTGGGAGCAATGCGAGGTACTCCGATGGCGGTGGGAGGGCCAAGTCGCATGCCCTCATTGATGACCGCGTTTAGATAAGGCAAGTTGCTTGTCGATGCTACCGTCATGTCGCTCTCATTCTGGAAATTATCCCTGATCTCTGCTGTGAGTCGATGCAAGACACCTCTGTGCTGCAACAACATTCTTACGATCGCAGTCAGAGCACTCGCTGTTGTTTCGCTCCCAGCAAACGCAATTACGAGTAAGTTGATTCCCCACTCAGCATCTGTGAATTGATCCTTTTGATCACTATACTTCTTCGTCGGAGTTACCCAGTCCGGCCGCTCTACATTCAGTGCTATTCTCTTCTGAGCTTGTTCCATACTCAGCTTACGATGGTCCATACTCCTTTGCAAGATGCGTTTAGGGATGATGTGTCGGAGTAGTTTATCGATAGGAGGGTAATGGTTGATCGAGCCGATCAAGGCAAGCCCTTTGCCAAAGTCCTGGGCAATATCGACCCAGGGATGCGCTTTGCCGTTTGCAACACAATCCCAAGACTCGCCATAGGTGAAGTCTCCAGAGATGTCAAAAGTCAGGTAGTTCAACCATTTCTCAAGATCGACAGCCTTTCTCTTTTTCATTTGTTCCATGAAGAGATCAACGTAGCTCTCAATGACTGGTGCCTGTTCTTTCAAGCTTTTCTCTGAGAAGGAATTTGCAAAAGCACGTCTGTACCTCGTATGGTCTTCCTCATGCCAGTTCATGATTGAGTTAGGTTCGGTTGGTGACATCTTCTTGAATGAGGTACGGTTACGTTCGAAGGGTAGATGGCCCGGGCGTGTGATATAGATCTCTTTCAATGCACGACTGTCGGCATAGGAAAGTTCGTTAGGGGCTACACGTACAACTGGCCCATACTTGGTGTGAAATTCAGTAAACCGCTTGTGAATTTCGCCACGGTGCGTCGAGATAACATAGGGAATGTGGAAGGATCGCCAAAGCAGCGGACCGGGGTAGTGGCGTAGCGGATGGAGGAACGCGTTGTAGAACGCGTATGCGAACGCTAGCTTTGTTGACGGATTAGCATCGAAGGGAGCCACTTTGCATACTGACAGGGCACTTACGGCTGAGATGCATAATACACATGCTGCCACTGGATGCACGCGACTGGGTAACGACGACGATAATTGGAAGCCCAGGGCATCACGACTGCCTTTGTCTGCCATTGCAAAATCTGGACCCAACTACAAAGCTTAACTTCCTGTGTCAAATGCTCTTATTCTGTGTTACTGCATTGCGATAGCAAGCATAGCTATTCGGATGTTGCGTTATCGTGACGAAAGGGTGGTCCTTGGCTTATGAAGTAAGGCACCCCGCTTTAGCCTTTCCTCTTTCGGTCATCATACTTTGCCCTGTCCACACCCAGACCTAGAGTCCTCACGTCGATGATACTCCGATGTGTCCTTCTAATCACTCTGATATGGATTTGACATCTCCGAAAAATCTTGGGAGAGAGGAGAATCGAAGAACACGAGCTGCAGGTTGGCGCACCGCTTCCGCATTGGATGCGCCCTCAGCATGCGCCGACATCTCAAGTATCAACTCACGCCGGCCCGGCCAGAAGCAAACCCAACTGAACGGATGTAGAGCGGGAGACATATACTGTTGCGGTAGGTGTCACAGTCTCGACTGCCACCATGCAGCCAATGCAGGAGCTGTCAAGAGTTTGAAAAGCACTTCAGGATGCTGACAGGAGCCCAACATCCCGCGCACACGCGTATCCTCACCTAAATGAAGGGTAACTCCTGGAAGCGTTCGAGCGACGTTCATGAACTGGGGAAGTGTCGCACGTTGTGCGGGATCATCGCTGAAACCTTCGCTTGAGCTCTGACACAGCTCACTCTGTGAACTTCATGGGTTTCGAAACACTTGTTACTGTGAAAGATTCTTCGGCCGACCTGTCGTTCACATGTCTAAACGAAACAACCGACTTACTCGCGAATGGCGTATGCAACGTCGTCCCGCAATGCACCACGAGTTTGCTCGCTAGATAGACGGGTGTGTCACGAGCTTACTGTGGAGCCAAAAAGAAAGGAGGCTAATGTCGCCACTTCGACAGACTTGCAGAAAGCTAATAAGCCAACATTACCCCTCTTTCATTGCCAATGAGGCGATACCAAAGCTCTGTCAGACGATTAGAGCGCATTTTGCGGCTCGTGGGTAACCTGGTTCTGGGTTTGCTAGTCAACGTCTTCAGTACGTTTCTTACCGGATTGCAGCTTTCGCGAACGCCTTGCCGTGCGCTCATATTGGTATCGAAGACGAACGCGAAGGGACTGGCTGATGAGTGCCATCCCTCGTTTAAACCAACCATGTAATTTATGCCTGATGATAGATATCAGTCTTTGTGCGGAACAGGCATCATGCTCAAGTTCGCAGCATGGCAAGCTTCACAGTCGCCTAACCGCAACCGTACGTAGCATCGGTGCCACCGCGGATGCAGACTCCCTGAGACGCCGACAAGACTCTCGCCGCATTTCTCTTCCAAGGCTACCAGTGAATGCCTACACATTCCAGAACTCACAGTTGCCGCATTTTCCGTTAATCTCTGTCGAGTACCCAGTTAATTAACCAACATTTGGGCTTGAAGCGGGGCTTTCGATAGTTCGTGCATGCTACTATCGGGTCATTTACTGACTTTGCTCAGCCAGATCAGGTCATTTACCAGCCGTCCGATGCATGGCGTCTGCAGCGCACAGGCAACGGGTGAATACCAGGGAGACCCCAGCCTTCTAACCAACCTCCCGTTCAAGCAAGCGCAAACCCAATTCCCCAAATTGGGTGCACTTCTGCCGACGTTTGGTGTTCGTCTGGAGGGCCTGATGCTGAAACTAAAGAATCCTTCGTTGGACGACCACTGAGGGTGTCAGATCAACTGTGCCGCCTCCCTAAGGCAGAATAGATGCCTCGCTGTCAGACATTGCGATGGATGTGGAGGCGATGTAACAAAAAACCAACGTTCAAAAGGCTCGGGAGCGCGAATGGAGGCTCAACACGAAGAGTGGACAGCGCCACTGGAATGCGGCTCACTACAAGGGAAGCAAAGCCCATCGTATCGCTCTCAAAATCCCTGCCTTTTGATCGCAAGATTGCACGTATCAGCGCTTACAGCAGACACAAGCCTTTTACCCAGCTTGCCGAGAGCGGCAAGGTGACATGCGGAAAGAGGACTACCCTGAGACGCTAAAGCCACCTCCAGGTCTCACCAATTTGGCGTGCATATCGCTTCAAGGATAATAGTAGGAAATCTGGTCAAGATGAAGGCCCGTGTTGACGTACACCCACACATGGCGGCGCATGCATGCCCATGTAGGCCGCCTGTCTAACGGCCAAGCGCGAGGGTTACAGATGAAGGTATAAGTCTGTCGAGCCGCCTGGTCTAAGAAGGAGTATAACGGTGATATCAGCTTCGAGTTCTTAACACTAGCACTAGCGAAGCGAAACGACGACGTCCTTATTCTGATAACACCAGTCCTTCCAAATACTCATTCACTTTCACCATTGTTCAGGGTCTACCTGCGTTGCACAGATCATCCTCGCAAGATTTTTATACTGCCGCCGCCCGACTTGCAGCGCACTATTTCCACGAGAACGACCCGAATTCAGCAAACCCCAATCATCTTTACAGAACGTATCATCAACAGCGTTCGCTTTTCGCAAAGCTACACGCTATCAGTCACCATGCTGTTCTCCACAGTCCCTGCGGCCCTTCTCTGTGTCGCAACTGCCACTGCAGCTGCTCTCCCATTGCCTGGCAAGCCACAAACATACACTCCCGCGCGGAACCTCAAGACCCTCTCCAAACTCTTTCCCCAGAGTACTCTTACTAGCCCAGACACTCTCGGCCTAGACCTGAAGTACGTTGTCCTCGGTATCGGCACACAAAACTACACATGTAGTACGCCCGACGACAGCGTGACTCCTGGTACTACTGGTGCATACGGTAAGAACATTGTGAGCTCGACAGCAAGGCATCTCTAACAGCCATCTAGCTACCCTATACGATATCGGCACGAAGCTCAACGACGACAAGATGGCCAAATGGAAGATTGGCTCCATTTCGCCTCTTGCACTCTCGCTGAGCGAATGGGCACCTCAAGTTGTTGACATGAGCCTCAGGTCGCAGGGCTACGAACATATCGCCGGTCATCACTTCTTCGCCGATGTGTCAGGAACAAACACGCCAACATTCGCTTTCGACAAGTTGAGCGCACCCTTCCCCATGACCCAAGTGGCCAAGATAGGCAATGTCGATGCACCAGCACACGCATGCCCAGGCAAGAATGGCCTACCTGCTGTTCAGTGGCTGTATCTCCAGCACAAGGCTGGTATCACTCAAGGAGGAATCGACACTGTCTACCGTGTCGAGACTGCTGGTGGTAACAAGCCTGCTACTTGCAAGGGCATGCCAGCTTCTTGGGAGGTCAAATACGCTGCGCAATGTAAGTGTACATGAAACACTTAGACTGCTGTAGTGGTCCACTAACATCTCGCAGATTGGGTCTATGGTCCAAAGTAGTAGGCGCCTAGCTTGCGATGCTCGTTTCGAGTCAATTACGAACGCTTCTACCCCTCATGCCTTCTTTAGTCCTTCCATAGTTGGATTAGTCGCGCGCGTCTATATTTATCCCAGAGACATCTAGACAGTGTGCAGCAGGGCATGTTTTTCTTTTCTTGCCACTTTTCATTTCGTCTTCTAAACTTACGATACCCTTTCTTTCCCATGGTTCGCACAGCTTTGCTAGGTCTCAATTCTTCTAAACGGACATTGGCATGGTCATGGGCGTTTGAGGCTGTCAGCATTGGGCCATTATAGTGTACACCGACTTAGTATAGACCTTGCCCTAATTCTAAAAGACTTTTTTTAAACTTTTCTGTTCTATTCTGATACTTTCGAGATTCCTCGTGGAATAGTTCACGGTACAGTATGCGAGTCAATGCACAAGAAGTCAATAAGACGTGACATAGTCCAGGTGATCACAACTGCTCTTCCACCAACACAACACGCTTACGTGGACTGGGTCTTACGACACGTACTAGATCGACCGATAATATCGTGGCACGACATGTCAGCCAACATGTGAAGCTCGCCGTATGTGCCGCAGTAAGGCGCGCAAGGCTGTTTGCGCTATCACTTCCAGTTCAACAAGCTTAAGATACTAACAGCTCTCATTTGCCAACCGCATGGCTTATGAGCTACCAATAAACACTACTGGCTTCTTTACGAGCCTTCATGTCTCTTACGGTTCTTTTTCGACTAGATCTCAAGAAAGCCTTGCTCCAATACATGACGCGAATCACTCGCCAAGTCCTGTAAGCCTTTTCGTTGCCCAATATACCTCGAATTAATACAGACCTCCTGATTGGATGGCTGCTAGATCGAAGAGTGGTTCGTACTACTTTGGTGGCTGTGGCAGCGGGTATTTCGCTTGGCAAAGCGGGTGTGGTCGGTGTGGCACAAGTCTGGTTTGACGGCGGCTAGAGTACATCGGAGGTTTTCTTTGGGTTTTGTATGGTCCTGGTCTGAACTCTATTCATCGTGTGGTTCTCAGAAAAAGAAATGTCTCATTGGCATGTACGAAAGAAGGTCTTCCGTGTCAATGATGCAGTTTACATGCGTTCAGCGCGATTTACAAACATCATTCTGCTTAGATCGTCATCGTATCCACCAAAATCATTACAATATGTTCAACTCTGGGCTTGCTTCCCTGTGCAATCGATGGTCACTTCCGTTGTGCATTTGATACCTTTCAGATCCTCCCTATCATGGAGGATGTTGTCCTCACTCCCAGTCCGTTCCTCAGTGACGCTATAGAACGTTTTCTTCTTGCCCTGACCCGAAGCCACCAGTTTCTCAACCACACTTTCTCGGACGCTAGTTCTAGTCGACAATTCAAAATTCTCGTTACCCATCAATGTACCGTTCGTTGTTAAAAGGATTTTGCGACGCCTAGCAGGTTGTCCTGCACTCCCAAACGTACGGGCCCGTTCGATATCATCGTACTGATTGTTGATTGACGATTTCGTGCTCTTTTTAAAGAGTGGTTCAAGGGTTGGTACGGAGGCTGCGATGATTCCCATATGTATTTGCATGCTAAAGTACAAGCAGTCAGCCTTTTTCAATCATGTATCGATGCGTAAAAGAAGACTGGAGGCCGTCACTTATTTTCCCCAGAAGTTCATGCTTTGATTGCTGGATTTCGTAAGCTTGAGGCGTTGAAAATAATGGCAGCTGACATACTAGGTCTGATCTGTGATGGTTGATGAGCCGAACTGGTAATAGGCCTTGGGGATACCCATGGCAGCTGCACTGTATCCATATGAGCGACTTCCGGCTAGATATGCTATAGAGAGACATACAGCCAGCCCACGCTTAGTAGCGCTATCAAGCTCAAACGTGTTCGCCATGACATCTGCAAGTTCCAAATGATCGGCATAGGTATAGTCGCGAACACGACGTCAGTGAACATGTTACATGCTTTCATATGTTAACACGATCCAGCTCTTTGCTAGAAATGGATGAACTTACCTGTGTTCGCCAACGCAGTACCGACAAAGAAAGTCCACGAGTAGCATTTAGCGTTGATAGTATGATCCCAGGCACCAGATACGGGTGAACATCTAAATATGAAACTGAAGAATGCGAACAGGCTGTAAAACACAAAGAACGAAATCACCGCCCATAAGGTACGCCTAAACCAGGCGTTGTTCTTGCCTAGTCTGAGCAGGAAAAGAGCGATAGACACTTTCAGCAGTGCGAAAGCAATTAAGGCTGAGATGGTGATTTGATAGTAAACGGCCTGATTGATGGCTGCAAGATCAGACACCGACAGGGTTTGTTGATGGCGTCCAAGGCCGTGGTAGCCCTGAACGATGAAACATATCAACTCTGCCAGCCCACCAAACTGTCTGCGTCAGCACTGCTCAGCGGGAGGAACCCATGATCTTTAAGAATACTCACATACGCTCCCACGATTAATATGTCGTCCGTTGCGGGCTTGCGCAGTACAAAAAACCCGTGCATAAAGCCGTAGGCAAACAAGAACAAAGGTAACAAAGTGCACAAAAGTGGAAACTGCGAGAATCCGAGTCAGGTTGCTCTCAGCTGACCACTCAGGTTCCATGGCTGGTTGCCCAGATGGCCCAGTTGTGGTAGCCATACTCATCTTGGAAGATAAGAGACACTTGCGCACGAGTCACTCAGTTGATTCGAATAAAAAGGGAAGTAGAGATTCGTGACACCGACAAGCTGAGAAGATTATGAGTACGTTCAATTCTCGGCATTCGAGCTGGTAGACAAGTTTATCAAGCCTGATACCCCCTCATATCGCTTGTACATCTCATTAAATCCTGACGACTGTGCCACTCGCAGTGATGAAGCTGATGGCATTTCATAGGATTCCCAGGCTTGTTATTTCGAATATCACCTCAGTCGCGCCCATCCCTTTGCATTCAGCGGTTCGTACGGATTGCAGAATCTCCAAGCCAGAAGACGTTGTATTTCTAACGTTGTTAGGATGAAATGACGATTTTGATGTAGGCATACCGATGGTTCCGAGACTAGTATGGGTGGTGATGGCGCTTTCCTTAAGTACAATGGCAGTGTTAGCGGTGGTGGCTCGATTCTCTTGCCATCAGGAAATGGAGGTGGATGTATAAAGAGTGGTCCTTTCAAGAAGTAAGTCGGGTATTCTCAAGTTTTCAATCATCCATCTAATAGCGGTCAGTCTGCAACTCAACCTCGGTCCTGTCCTCCCTGCTATAGAAGGATACGCTGCCGTAACGGACCCATTCGAGTGGAACCCAAGATGCGCTCGACGCGATTTCATTCCCACTACCGAAGACTACACCTTCACTAACCTCTTTAATATGACACTCGACGAGGCTTCTCAAAGCGTATATACGTTCCAGAACGAGCTTCAGGGACGTTTTTCCGACGGATTTCTAGGTACACATACCGCTGGACACGTGAAAGTTGGTGGTGATGCCGCCGATTTCTTCAGCAGCACGAACGACCCTGTGTTCTTCCCGCACCACGCCACGTTAGATCGTGTGTGGTGGATGTGGCAGGCGTTGCATCTCAATCAGGCAAAGACAGTAGCTGGTACCATTACTATCCTCAACAACCCACCAAGTAGGAATACTACCTTGCAGGACGTCATCAGCACGAATTTCCTCAACATGCCAGACAGGCCGATCGGAGATCTGCTAGGTTCGCTGGATGGAGAGCCATTCTGTTACATCTACCTGTGGTACATTGAGACATTGTATATACGCTACCTCGAATACAGTACATAGAAATGCACATTTGAATGTTCACTTTTACGCCTAACTGTTGATGACGGTAATACGCAGCAGGCAACGCGCAAAGACCCATAGATCCGCGAACTAACACGTACCCACACTCCACGGCCCGCTAATTGGTCCGATCACCACTAGCCATCGTGATACTACTATCGACTCTATGACAACCTCACAATCAATCTCATCATCGTCTTCCCACAACAATTAAGCGAAGCAGATGCTGCAGCCAATTCCCATAATCGGCGCTGGCATCGCCGGTCTAACGCTGAGCCGCAGCCTCCTCCATCGCGGCATCCCAACCATTATCTACGAAAAGTCAAGCTCAAGCCCACGCTTCAATTACGCCATCACTCTTCACTCGACTGCCTACCAGCCCCTTCTGGAAGTTCTGAATCTTGATGATGTTGCGTTCAAGAAACGCGTCGCTGTTGATGCCGAAGATGGCGGGGCTGGAACAATCGGAGAGCAAGTAGATTTACCCAGCCATGGAGGTCTATACGCAACAACATCATCATTTCGCGCCAATAGAGCGAAGCTCGAACACCTGCTTCGTGAAGGTCTCGACATACGTTGGAAACACAGTCTTCAAGGTGTTCAGAGGACTCAAAAAGGACCTAGGATACGTTTCAGTAATGGCGAATCGTGGTCTAGTGGGAAACTTGTTATAGGCGCAGATGGTGTACATTCCGACCTACGGAAACTTCTACTCCCAGCTTTATCACATCTGAAGGTCCTTCCGTATGTCGTTTTCAATGGGAAAAGGAGAATGGAGAGGGAGGAATTTGACAACATGTTCCGCGACGTGGCGAGGCCAAGGGAAACGAATGTTTGGGAAGTAAAAGCTGGGGATGTGATGCTTAATGTCAGTGTTAACAAGACGACGAGTGAAGAGGTAAGCCTCAGCTGGATATACTCGCGTCCTGTGCGTAGCGACGAGGATGCACTGCATCGTCCTAATAGGCCGAACGAGGACGCGCAGAAGACACCCGATGAGTTCTTTCAAGAGATTGGTGAGCTGAGAAGTTTAAAATCTCCCTTCTCGGACATATTCGATGCGAAGAAGATGCGCGGAGACAGGATACTGCATTGGCTGATGCGAACAACATCTACACCACTGTCGGATTTGCAGGATCTTTTTGCGAGGAATGGAGTATGTTTAATGGGCGATGCAATTCATGCAGAGCCTATCGTGGGAGGTAACGGAGCCAACGCCGCTATCTTAGACGCATTGGCGCTTGCAGAAGCCATCTCGAGCGAAGAGAAGAGAGGCTGGGAAGGTATCGAGGGCAACGTGAAGAAAGGCGTATCGAAGTGGTATGATGAAAGTTATCCGGAGTGGGAGCAAGGGGCTGTAGAAAGTCAAAGAGCCATCGCAAGAATGCATGAGGTGTCGTTAGGGGCGGATGCGCGGCTTTAAGTATCCATGTAGGAGTACTCACCGAAGTAAATTACAGAAGCCACGTCAATGAAGACAAGGGTAGCGTGCTTGATAGATTTTTGTACTAAGGAACTCGTGCTTTCTGGATTATCCGACACTACAGAAGGTACTCTACAAACACTTGCTGCACCTCCTAGTGATATACTTGCAGAATTCAAGATGTATTATGCCTCTAAAGCACGTCAAGGACGTGCAGTAGAGTTCAGTAAAACAATACCTGACTGTAACAGCATTTATTAGTCACTACAGAACATAGCGGACTTGGCTAAATAGGAAACATCTTTGGTATTTTGTAGTCAGGTAAAACTGGGCAGCCACAGCTACCACGCGGTCAGACGACTATCAAGGCGTGTCGTGTCGGTGTGGGTCTTTTGCTGGCTATTTAGACCGTAGTCTCTTGTTAGAAGTCGTCACAGGTATCTACCAGCCACCTCCGCCAGTGTCACCTCCCCATGAAGCCTCACCTCCAGCGGCAGCGGCAGCGGCGGCATCGCCATCACCCGTACCCGCACCCGCACCCCAGCCCCCACCTGCATCACCTCCATCCTCAGCAATAGGCTGCTTGCAGCGCTGCTCAGGTTAGCTTGTCGCACTTGCACATTGAATGATATCGAACATACCTTAATGGTGTGGCCCATCTCGTTACAGTTATTACACTTGACCTTAGACCAGTCCTTGGGTTCAGGACAGTCGCGGGAGAAGTGACCCGTCTTTTCGCAGTTGCGGCAAAGAGTCTTTTCCGGGTTCCTAGGCTGGTCGCAGTCCTTGGCCATGTGTTCAGTGGAATCGCAGTTGCGGCAAGCACGAGCGGCAACGTTGGGACACTGTCAGCTGTTAGTATGTGCTAGAGTGATTCGCAGCCCCACGATACTTACATCCTTGGAAAAGTGACCAGTCTCGTTGCACTTGCGGCATTCGACGCCCTCAGCAGAGCGAGGCTCAGGACACTCTTTGGAGTTATGACCCTCCTGCTTACAGTTCTTGCAGGCGTAAGGGTTGACACGCTCCTTGGGGCAGTCACGAGCACGGTGGCCAACTTCCTGGCAGTAGACGCACTGAGCCTCGGGCACGGTGTTCTCGCGCTCAGCCTGCTCTTGCTTGCAGTACTTGCGAACGTGACCAAGCTCACCGCAGTTACCGCATAGCGGGACACCGCAATCCTGAACGTAGCCGCAGGAGGTGAGGCGCTCCAGATTCTCGGTAGGACTCTCAGGCCAGCCTTGAGCCATCTTGGCGCGACGAGGCTTCGCAGAGAGCTGGACAGACAAAACAAACTTGCAGTCTGGGTTGCCGATAAGGTCGACGATAGTCATGTTAGGGGCGATCTCCTGCTGCTTGGCGATAAGAAAGATTGCGAGGTCATCCTCGCGGAGAGCCTGCTCGACGGCGGCAAGATTGAACTCATCCATGGTAGCGCGAGCGTAAGCCCTCAAGCAGATGCGGAAGGCGTCGAGGTCCTTCTCTTTGGCAGCATCGATCAGAGCAATCCAGGCGGCCGAGGCATCCATCTCAGGCACACCGGACCAGTCGACAATGCGGCGAGACTTGCAGTCGACAGCGCGATGGCCTTGCTGATCGCAGAGTTTGCAGGTACCATCGAAAGCACGCTCTACCCTCTCGTTGGTACAATCTGCCTTATTGTGACCGACTTGACCGCAGTTGAAGCACTCGCCAGTAAGACCGCCACCGCCCTCGGGCTTATCAGGGCAGTCGCGGGCGAAGTGACCAGTCTGCTTGCAGCTATTTTGTTGTCAGCAACATAGAACGAAGTTGGTTGACGAGACATTGCTTACATGCGACAACCGTCGTCGTTAGCATCGCCTCCGCCTCCGCCAGCGTCAGCACCTGCACCAGCACCGGCATCATCGCCGTTCCAGCTGTCGCCAGCAGGAGCCGGATCCCATGAGGAGCTGCCGCCTGTCTTTGTGTCAGCAGAGGCTTGAGGCCACCACAGCATGTCGCATACCTGCAGTTGCACCAGTATCCCAGCTCATAGCTGTGGGTGATGGCTAGGGGGATTGGAGTTGATGTCAAGTGTCTGTACGACAGTATGGTTAGCATATGCAAACAAGTGTAGAGTTAATGCTGACAATCCGAGACTGTCGTCGTAGTATGGAGTGAAGAACCAACCACCGGATGGGGGTGACTGACCTTTTTGGAGTTCAGTGACAGTAACGCGATCTGTCTGCAACAAGCACCGAAGAGATGATCAGAGCGATCGAATAGTAGATTGCGGTCGGTCGATCGACTGATGGGGAAGAACTGAAAAGTAGGTATCGGGATTGAAAATTGTGTTGTGGACGCAACTTCTCTATTGATATGTGGTAAACAGGCGGAGGGCCCGTGCTGAAGCCCAACGATAATAACGCAGGTGAAGGTGAGGTCAGTATTGTAAATCCTTATCAGTATCGGGAAGCTGTAGGTGTATCATTGGCGATATGCCACGCGATATGCTGGGTATGGTAAGAGAGGATGCTTGTGGTGATATGGAAGAAACGTAAAGCGTCGATGGCCGCTTTGGGGCGACAGTGAGAGCAGAGCGACGATCTACCTCAACAGAAAGAACAGGAGCAACGAGAATATCAGGAAGACAAAAAAACAGAAACAGATCGTCAGAAGCTCTTGTGAACGTTGAACTGGCATTTGGCACATGAAATACGTAAATACTCATCCTGCACGCCGAGATCGCGTGCTTTTCCAAGAAGCTGGTATCATGTCATGAACCTCACCAAAGAAAAGGATGGAGGCCCTCGCAGCACCACCCGTGATCATTTAATACCTGAACGCCAAAAATGATTTCAAACCCCCAGACTGTCGAGATCGTGTCTGATCATACACCACGGAACTGAAAATCGTTAGTGTCTGCTTCATATCTGCTTGGTGTTGCCCGAAGGCCGTTGGTGTGTCACTTACCATTCGTACCACCAAGAACCACATAGCTCCGATAAACCTGAACGCAGCCAAGCCAGCAACACTGTAGAGAACTACTGCTAGGTAAATAGTGGCAGCGTCGTTCTGCTTCTGCTGGGCCTCGTCGGGACTACTGACGGTGAGCTCCAGGCCACCGGACTGCAGAACCAAAGCCGACAGGCCCAAATTGCAGAACATCCAGAACAGCACGACACCAGATCGAAAGCCCTTGTAGTAATCTTCTTGCTTCTCGCTGGCTGAAGGAACCTTTTTCTCTTCCTTCCACTTAGCGCTGAAGACGCGGAGTTCTGTTTCGTACTGAGTATTGAGATCGGCGTCGTCAGTTGGCGCCTGAATATCTGCTTTACCATCAGCCTTGGTGGTGACCGAAGGCAACTTTTCCGGTTTGTCGTCTCCCTTAGTGCCCCAAGTGATATCGTGGGTATTGCAGAAGGCGTAGACGTTGAGAATGTTGATGTATGTGGGTGTCATGAGCAGGTATTGGAAGAACGACGTGAACATGTGCCATGGATCCAGGAAGATGATGGACACCACTAGCCACATCACATACGTTGATAGTAGTGATATGATCAGAGTGGCAAAGATCTTATCCTTGAACAAGTCTGCCGCGTTGAAGCCACCATTGGTTTCAATCTGTCCCTGGACGGAGCGAACAGTGATGAAGATGGACGCGAACATGAGATAAGCCATGATAATGCACCAGAAATAGACCATAGACATGTACCACTTATTAGAACCCTGTGGCCGATTACCGAGTGATAATATGAAACATGTTATCAGCACAGCGATGTAGAGCCACTCGAACACGATAAAGAGTACTTTACCCGCGGTACCAAGTTCGTTCTGCAAGGAGGCAGTAAGGATGCGGAAAACCAGGAAGAAGTTACCAAGAGCAAACCAGGCAAAGATCATGCTGATAGTTTGATAGACAAACTCAACGAGAAACATGGTTTTGCGCAAGAAAGAGTGGTCACTCCGGAAGATGTCGAAAGAGTGAGCCAGGGCGTAGACAGCAGCGAAGAAGGATCCGTTCAACCAACGACGACGTTGACTGATGAATTCGGCCATGGTGGTCGGTACATCCGTCTCTCCGGTAGCAGATTTGACATACTGGAGGATCCAGTGGCAATTTCTCTTAGAGACGAGCTCGAAGCAAAGAATACGGTCCTCGGCCAGGTACATGTTAGCTGTGAAAATTCCAGCGTTGGCACCGTGCATCTTTTCACCAGCAAAGTACTTCTCCAGCGGCCCTTGTCCAGTCTTGTCGTTTTGGAGCGCTACGTAGCGGTATGCGGAGAAGGCACCAGGAAGCACAGAGATGAAACCAAACGCAGACTCGAGAGGCTTATCCAGGATGTTACTCATCTTGTACTCGAAATTCTGTGTCGCAACCAGCGGGTTCAAGAGCTTTTTACCATGCACTAGCATAGCCTTGATTTCACCACAGGCACCTGCACACATGGGCTCGAGATCAAACGCCTTCCACAGCTGGTAGACTGAGTCTTTTCCAGGCTTTGTACCAGCATCGATAAGCACGCAAACATTGGGATCCAAAACAGCCCCGAAAGCCTGGAAGAACCATCGATGGGAGTTGATCTTCTTCTGGTTCTTTTCTTTCAAACAGAACAACATTTGGACGGGGGTGTTGCCCTTCTTGACACCGACGACGCCCTTCTTGATGTCAAGCGTCATTTGCGTGGTGTACTCATAGATATGGGCAGTCACATCCTTGCCGTTGACTTGCTGCTTGGCAATGCCGTCCTGGTAGACACCGAGGGCTGCTAGCACGGCGCGGGTCCTCGGGTTGATCTTGGCACGACCATCGCTGACGACGCAGACTACGATCTTCTTCCACGCGTCCTTGCCCCACGTCTTGCTGTTGGTTCGCGAGTTCATATACTCAATGTTCTTGATGACACCAATCATTGTCCGCGCAAACAATTCATCCTCCTCGTTGTACATGGTGATAACAATGAAGAGCTCAGTGTGCCTTGGCTTTGCAAAAAGCTTCTGACGCAAAGTGAAGCGCTCTGCATCGAAGTCTGCAGGGTCGCATGTGGCGGCCGAGTAGCGCATATGAGTGAACTCGTCACGCTCCGGGGGCTGTGCATGTGGAACCTGGTTCAGTAACCGCGGCGGAATTGGACAATCGAGCACCAAATTGCCCTTGAACAATTGGACTTCCTTGACTGTTTTCCATCGCTTGATTGGAGCTGGGCTAGGTGTGGGCGCGGGCTCATCGTGGAAGGGGTTCTCTGGGTCCATGTCATCTGCGTCATGGGGATCCGGGCCATAGGAATTGGCCCCGTGTATCATCGGTCTGTTCATGTCCTCATCTTGCCAGTAATGCGTCGGTTGTGTGCCGTATCCGGCGCCCGGGCTCTCATCATGCGGAGTTGGGTCGTAAGGCTGGTTGTAGTATGCATCGTGATGGGCTTGGGGGTCGAGCGAGTAATCGGAGTCGTGATGTTGCGGTCGTGGGTCGTAATCGTCGTGATAGTTGCCAGCGGCGTATGGGATATTCTCTACTGAGTACTGTTCTATGTGTCAGCCTGCTGAATAGCTGGATTCACGATTGAACAATCTGCACAATCTGGATCGCTCGTCGTCTCCTTGGAGGCGCAATACATACACTTGGTTGTAACGGCAGGCGGTCGCCGGAGGCTGCTGCTGGGTTGGGTCCCATTGGGATTTCCAAGATGCCCGAGGGCTGTGGTGACGCATAGCGGTCTTGATGTGGTGATGCATAGCGGTCTTCTAGTTGATAGCCACGGAGAGGCTGCCCTGGCGAAGGAGTGCGCCCAACTTGTCTTCGGGGATCCATCTCGTACGGGTCGTCGCTACCGCCTGGTGCGCCTATGTAGTACGATTAGCTTGACTGACAAGTGTGGCACCTCGTGGTGGAAAAGGCTTGTTCTGAGGTTTGCGAAGGTGTCGAGGTTGACCGGCTTCTCCCACGCGACCTCGAGTCTGCCAAGTTATTACTCACCTAATCTGTTGTATGACATGTTGGTGTGTTTCCAGCGTATGCTGCTGCGCCTTCAATCTTTCTGCGGCAATGCGACGGGCTGATCAACAGGCCAAAACACAAATACAAGGGGTTGCCCAGTTGAAAAGCCAAAGGTGCGACTGTTATGGTGTGCTATCGTATAGGCGTCGCGGGAAAGGCGACTGGTATATGTTCGGGTTTCAGGATGTGTTTGGTGCGTTTGGCGGGCCGGTAGCGCTCTGGGGTTGTTTACTGTAGCAACCAGCGGGTACGCATGGGCGGTCAAATGATGTAACACCAAGAAGAGCGCAAGTAACCGGCTTTAGAGATTGCAACGACTGGGGCCTCAAAGCCTGTAGAGATGAAGTAGTTGCAGCTGAGTTTAGCTCGTGGAAGACTGGCTCCTTGGAGGGTTCATCCATTCAAGTGCACCTGAGCAGCTGCCAAGGAAGCACTCGCTGCGCAATCGTCGTGGGGTGCGCCACACTTCACAGCCCTGCTATTACGAAGCCCCAAGGTCTATTTCCGTCAAAGCTTTGCTCACCAACGGCTGTGAAAAGGCCGAACTTTATCGCTACCGGTAGATGATTGGAGCATACATGTTGACTAGACGACATGGCTTTTCCTTCCTGCAACTCTCGTCAGCATGGCACTTTTACTCCTTGAATATCAGGCAAGTCATCAGGCGCATGCACATGCAGATGCGGCTCTGGCAACTGGACGATTTCGGAAACCCCACCAAGGCCGAAGTGACAGGTCACTCGTACATACGTAGACGTGTGGCTGCCGCAGTGCGAGAATGGCTCGAGTGTGTGTAGATCTTTACACTACACTGCGTACGCCTACGAGTGAGGAGCAAAAGCAACTCAAACCCTCAATTCAGCATGATACCTGCGTTGTCTTATGATCATAACGCACTGGTGATCGCTCGCTGTCACGTTTGGCGTGCGTGCACAGTACCTGTCGATCCCACGTCATTTGCGGCGGTGCACATCGAGTCTTACAAGACATCTCACCGTACCTAGGGAGTGTAATTGTTGTCGCGGTATTAGTGTATGATACATGGTTCGCCAAAGAATATCACGCGAATCCAGGTGGCCTACTATATCGCAAGTGGAAGCGCCTGAACTGTTGCTTGACCTAACAGGCCCAATCCCGACGATACGCCGTCCCAAGATGATCTCCGATCTTCCCAGATTCCTCGCATCCTCGTATTCCCACAACACTCAATCGCAAAGGAACCTCACGCCTACCCAACCTACCCACACACGACCAAGACACCTCCCATATCGCCACGATGAGCGACTCCAAATCCCCTAGACCCGTCTCCGTCCTGTTCGTCTGCCTAGGAAACATCTGTAAACACACCCCTCCACCCTTTGTATTCCACCACAGCACTAACCTCTCCCCAAGGCCGTTCAACAATGGCAGAAGGCGTCTTCCAGTCTCTTACCGCACCCTCGCACCCTTTGATCTCAACAATCGACTCTTGCGGCACGGGCGCCTACCATGTCGGCTCCAGCCCCGACTCACGCACCATGGCTACCCTCAAAGCGAACAAGATAACCACTTACCGCCACTCGGCACGAAAGTTCTCTCCTAGCAGCGATTTCGAAAAGTTCGATTACATACTCGCAATGGACGATGAGAATCTAGAAGATTTAGAGGCATTGAGGCAGAGGGAGCTTAAGAAGAAGGGCGGAAGCGACGAGGGCATTGGGAGGGTTATGCTGTTTGGAGAGTTTGGGGGGAAAATGAGGAAGGGGAGGCGTGGAGAGAGGGGCGAGGAGATTGCGGACCCGTACTATGGAGGAGATGATGGGTTCAAGACTGCGTATGAGCAGTGCATGAAGTTTGGCAAGGTGTTCTTGGAGAGGCTTGAGAAAGGAGAGCTGAGCTGAAAGGAGGCGAATGGATGGTAGAATATTATTTCAAGTGTGGAGTGGTTGTGCGTTTAGATACCCCATAGACTGCCTTAGGCTACAATGCATGTACAATTCCAGTTGGACTCTAATAAGCCTCATTACAACGCGTGATGCTTCCGGGGTATAATTCGTTATCATGTCGTATCGCTACGAGTTCCGCTTAATCTGCCTCTCTAGATCCAGTAGCTTCTCTACCAATTTTCCTCGCATAAAGTCGGTCAATCCCAAACTGCTTCTGTTAGCTTCGCGCCCAACTCTCTGGATTACAACAAGGATACTCACATGCCCTCCCTCGTCACAACGCGGTACGTCCCGCTGTTCTGCCAGCCTCCGACTCCTCCACTAAAATGACCATTGCCGTCAACTTCCACACTGCCGAAGATGTCCTCGGGCCACGCAATGCGCCCATAGTCTGGTGGATTCCTCAGATCACTGATATGTATCCAACCTCCATGACCTGCTCCTCCCATGCCGCCTTGGTGATTTGCGCCGCCTGCGCCATCGTTCGGTTGCGAAAGGTTAGAGCCGCCTGGTGACGCGTAGACGGCTGCTTGCGATTGTACATATGGGTCAGAGATGGCGTGTGTGGCGAACACAGAGGATAGGATGGGAAGGAACTGTGGGTTCTCGGTGAAGTTCTGGGGCGTGGGTGGGAGAGCAGTGCATGTGCCTATGACGAGTTGTGGTGTGGGAGGTTCGGTGGGCAGTAGTGATAGCAAACGTTTGCTCGGATCGAACGGATCTTTATGTACATACTGAATCGGGTCAGTAGGTGTTATTCTAAAAACGTGAGTTACATACAATGTGTGAATTCTCTGGCAATGTCGAAGCATTCCTCGCGCCTCTGAGACGAAGTGTTTGCGCTGAAGGGCGTACACGACGCGCAGAACGCACGAAGGTGTTCGCAAACATCTGATACAATACAGGACACATGAGTATATACAATCGTAGGGTCTGAGACTTGTTTACTATTGTTGCTGGGAATGAGGCCGAAACCTTATGCTCAGATGCTCGATTACTAACAATGACGAGGACTTCGGGAGTCCGCACTAGCGGCAGATCAAGCCGCCCGTTGCTCCTTCCGTCTTAGTCTCGGAACAAAGTACCTTAGCCACCTCGATTGTCCATGACCACATATCCGGGATAGCTTAAACAAATTTGCGCTGAGTCCTAGATAGTGCCGTTGTCCCGCGTGGACCCTCGGAAAATCACACCTAGTTGTAACCCAAGTCTCGACCGCCGGCCATGATCATTCCCCAAACCATTGCTAGCGCTACCCCACTAGCCATGCAAAATGTTCGCATTGGCGAATGGGAGTGCCCACGCAGTTGGTGGAGGCATGGCCGAACGGTGTATCGGCTTAAGTAAGTAGGGAAGGTGCTTCGTTGAAAAGTATCTGTTCCCCTTCGACTCACCAGTCTGTTTCGTGTTGTCGCAGTTCCTCATCATGGCTTCGGACGCTGTGGAGATAGCACCCATCGAGAAGAGGGTCGGGGAGACGAGCGATGCAAAGCAGACAGGGTTGCACCAGGATGTCGAAGTCGGACCCGAAATGGTCGATATTGATAGAATAGAGAGAGTTTACTCGTAAGTTATACATTTCCTCGCCATGAGTTATCGTGGATTATGCTAACAGCCACTCAGCAAGCTCGACCGTCGGATTCTGCCAGCGTTCTGGGTCTTGTACTTCCTATGCTCGGCAATTCGCTCCAACATTGGACTTGCTCAAACTATGAACCTGGCTGAAGGTCACGATCTTGGATCCGTACTCAACATCACGCCGAAACAGGTCTCTACTGGTCTGGCGCTGTTTTACGTCTGCTATGTCATCTTCGACCTTCCTTCCAACCTCATCATGTCAAGGGTTAGTCCTCACGCTTGGATGAGTCGCATCGTCACTTGTGTTGGTATCATTGGCATGTGTCTGACTGCTATGAATGCTGCCTGGAACCTTTAGTAGGTCCTTTCCCTGCATGTTATATTCAAAGACTAACAACAACCCAGCCTTCTCCGATTGCTATTAGGTATCGTCATTGCAGGCATGTGGCCCGGTATGTCGTATTACCTGACACTCTTTTACCCTCCGTCTCGCACCGGCAAGCGCATCGGACGCTACTTCACAGCGTCCCAGATGTCTGCGGCGGTCGTGGGTCTTGTCTCAGCTGGTTTCCAGAAGATGGACGGAGTAGGTGGTCTTGTCGGATTCCAGTGGATGTTCCTATTGTACGGCATCGTCGGCTTCATCGTCGGCATATCGCTACTTTGGTGGCTTCCCGATAGGCCACTACCTCCTGGTGAAGTTCGTCAACCAACTGGATTGGCGAAATGGCTGCCGAAAGGCAAACCGGCCCTAGAAGGCGAAGACGCGCGCATCCATTACGAAGATTTGACCCGCGTCTACAGCCGCAAGCTGTGGAATATGAAGGATCTCTGGCACGTCGTAATCGACTGGAGAATTTACCCCCTTGTCGTCATGTACTTTGGTGTGGTGGGAGTAGGCAACGGAACACAGGCTTACGCGACTGTTATCATACGCGGCATCAACCCAAGCTTGACGGGCATTCAGCTCAGTCTGCTTTCTGCACCCATCTGGATTGTAAGTATCTGGATCTTGTTGTGTGAATCGAGCTAATTGCAACAGATGGACCTCATCGCCATTCTCCTCGTGACGCCAATCTCTGATCGTTTCCACCATCACCGTCCTGCTTTCTTCAGCGGCGCCGTTGTAATACAGATTGCAGGTCTGTTGATCGCCACATTCGCCAAAGATTGGTCACGTTACGGTGGTGTGCTACTTATCGGCTTCGGACTGGGCCCGACGGTGCCCATTTGCATGGCCTGGTCCAACGAGATCTTCCAGCCCCGCCATGGAGAGGTGGGTGTAGCAGCAGCTAGCGCACTTGTGTCTGGACTTGGTAATCTAGGAAGTATCTTGACTACCTACGCACTCTATTCTGGATGGCCCGAAGATGCCAAGGACGGTCCGCACAAGTACCGCAACAGCAACTTTGTCATGATTGCCATTCTGTGCGCTAGTATACTCAGCGCAGGAAGCATGGTGGTCCTACTGAAGATGTTTGGCGACAACAAAGGAAAGCAGGTTAGTAGTGCAAGCTCGACTAGCGAGGGCGAGGCTGCATACGTGGATGGTGCTGCTCGGCGCGAGGTCCAGCAGAGGGGTCTCGGACGAATGTTTTGGTTCCGATGAAGAGCGGGTGGAGAATGGTCCTGCAGGCGGTGATTGGCAAAGTGGCAGTCATGGAGAAGACATTGGTTGGGATGGGTTTCTGAAATTGCCCATGGGGCAGCCAGAGGGTCACGAGAACGCGGAGCACTCGCGTGGAGGCGGGAACCAGGTCTACCTGATGCAAGTCAACAACCCCGGGCTGACAGCGCTGCTGCGACTGCTGTAAGACAAGATATACAAGTACCACAAAGCATAGTACGTTGTTCCGATTAGTTGTTCCGTTTGCCTGTGTCGTTGGGATTGCCGTCGCAGGTGTGACTGATAGCAATAGCCGACCGACGCCGGAGCAGCGGTTGTTCAACTCGCAGGCAGAGCCAAGAGGGGCTTCACGATACCCCAAGCTCCGTCACTTTTTGCGCCTAGCCTGCTTCCCCATAACTCCATCTTTTTCTTCGCCCTGCTCCGCTTCCGGCGCCTTGCCTCGCGTAGAAATCCTCGCAACCTCTGCTCCCAACATCCAAAGCACCCCGTGTCTCATCAGGAGCGCGCCCCACCACAGCTGTCCATGCACTGCAGTCGACGATCTGACAATCGATAAACCGTGTCACCGACTCGGCCGCCTCACACCGATCAGTCGCACGCAACCGCTGCAAGCACGCGCTCCAGGGAGTCATTGTACACGCCCTTTCCCCTTCGCCCCCAGACACGTTTGATGGTGGCCCTCGCAGCGTAGTAGCGGGGCAGTGAGCCAAGCGCGATATACTCGCAGCACAGAGCCCCAGGACCACGGCTTGCGCGCCCCGCTGTAAAGAAACAGACAGCAGTGACGTAAGTGCTCGTTGTTTGCCAGCACCCGCGTCCGTCTTCACATGCTTTTGGAGCCACCCGCTCGTCTGGCTCAGCCCTGCATCGGCATACCTGCTAACACCCCATGTATAGTCCCCGCAGGCGCTCACCAGCTACCACCCCGGCCAAAGCTCCAGCCAGTGCTCCCAGGCACGACAAGCCCCACTACATCACCGCCGCTCCATCAACACCACGCGCACCATGTCAGCCGCAATCGACAACGAAGACCTGGAGGAGCTCTCCATCTCCATGCCCGCCCAACGGCGAGGAGCTGGCGCCGCAAGCACCACCAAGGCCCAGGACCATGCCGTCGCGCCGCCCACTGCGCTCGGCACAGCTGTGCAGGAGAGCAAGAGCAAGGACTCCAAGGCGAACCAGCGGCTCGGACAGTACACCATAGTCAGGACACTAGGCGAGGGCTCGTTCGGTAAAGTTAAACTGGCGACACACCAGGTCAGCGGCCAGAAGGTGGCTCTCAAGATTATAAATCGCAAGCGACTCGTCACTCGAGACATGGCCGGCAGGATAGAGCGCGAGATCCAGTACCTGCAGCTGCTACGACATCCTCACATCATCAAGCTGTGAGTGGACTGCATATCCATAGCTTTCGTATACTGACCGCCCGCAGGTACACAGTCATAACGACACCAACTGAGATTATCATGGTCCTTGAATACGCCGGCGGTGAGCTGTTCGACTACATCGTCAACCACGGGAAGCTGCAGGAAGCCCAGGCGCGCAAGTTTTTCCAGCAGATCGTCTGCGCCGTTGAATACTGCCACAGACACAAGATCGTACATCGAGATCTAAAGCCCGAGAACCTCCTGCTCGACGACGAGAGCAACGTCAAGATTGCCGACTTCGGACTCAGCAATATCATGACAGACGGCAACTTTCTCAAGACAAGCTGTGGAAGTCCCAATTACGCCGCACCCGAAGTCATATCTGGAAAGCTGTATGCAGGTCCAGAGGTCGATGTCTGGAGTTGCGGTGTCATCCTCTACGTCCTACTCGTAGGCCGACTACCCTTCGACGACGAGTACATTCCCACTCTGTTCAAGAAGATTGCGGCCGGACAATACAGCACGCCAAGCTATCTATCCCCTGGCGCCACGTCTTTGATCAGGAAGATGTTGATGGTCAACCCCGTACACCGCATCACAATTCCTGAACTTCGACAGGATCCCTGGTTCACCAAAGATCTGCCTGCGTATCTTGAGCCACCTGCCCAAGACTTCTTCGATAGCGGCGCTGACCCGAACAAGGCAATCGACCCCAAGGCTCTGGCACCATCAGCAGATGCTCCCCGTGTACAGGCGCTACATGAGAATGTTGTCTCGAAGCTTGGCAAGACTATGGGTTATGCAAAGCATGATGTGCAAGATGCGTTGGCGCGGGATGAGCCAAGTGCAATCAAGGATGCCTACTTGATTGTTCGAGAGAATGAGATGATGCGGAAGAATCGTAAGCCAGCTCTCACTTAAAACACGTACATGGCTAACAGTTTATTGCAGCTTTATTAACAGGTGCTGAATGGGATCAAATGTCGCCTCCTACTCACGACAGTCACATGGATAAATTCAGGCCCCAATCGCTGAATGCAGCTACTCGTCCACAGTTCATACCGCCATCAAATTCTGAACACGAACGAGTACGTCAAGGCTCAAATGCCAGTAGCCAGCTTGCGAACATTCGAAGTCCTGTCAGCACAGTTGCTATCTTGCCTAGCAGTCTCACGGAATACCACAAAGCCTATATGAAAGGTCATCCGCGACCTCTGAACAAAGTCCAAGAACATGATGGTCTCCCACCCACCCCAGAACAAACTGAAGAACAACGGCAGATCTCAGCCAGAAGGTTGAAACCGAACTTCCGCACGATGCCAGAAGCAGGCAGAAACAAACCCGAGCCAATGACAAGTCTACCAGCCAAGAAACCTAGAGCGACCAAGTGGCAGTTTGGTATCAGATCTAGGAACCAGCCCGCAGAGGCAATGCTTGCGATATTCAAAGCACTCAAAGCGATGGGTGCTGACTGGGAAGTACCTAAGATACGTAGAGCAGGCGGCAGAAGTGGATCTCGTAGCCGCAGTACCTCTCGGACTCCCGACGATCGCTCACCACCTAAGTCACGAAGTCAATCGCAAGACTCGATATCATCGCACTCTTCGCATGAAGATCAAGGAGCTAGAGTGAACTCGCCACATCGTGAGCCGCTTAGTATACGTAACAAAGATGCAAATGAACAGGAGACAAGAGGTCGGCAAAAGAGGCATTACAATCACACCAATGACTGGGGTTACCATGTACCGGAAGATCCGTGGGTCATCAATGCCCGCTTCCGCAAAGAAGGCATGTTCCCTCCTGGCGTCGCACATCCTTCTTCGACGCACTCGTCGCGCGTGGATCTCGCCAACGATCCCTCTGGTCTTCGCAGGCGTAGTTCGACCAACGCAAGCGCATCGAGTATCCACGGAGTGGATGGCATGACTCCGTCTGAGCGTGCAGCTTCCCGCGCCGCTTCCATTAGCGAAGGGCACGCTGACCCCGACGAAGCGGTCTACATATACATGTCCATTCAGCTGTACAGTATCGACCGCGACTTCTTCGTCGTAGACTTCAAATGCGCAGGCTACGAGCGTCTCGTTTCCAATCTTGTCCGTGAAATAAAGGCGTCTCCTTCCATCACATTATCTTCTAGTCATTCAAACCCACACCAAGATGGTTGGGATGACGAACAGGGTGTGTGGCGTAGACTGGGTGAAGGTGAGCCGCTGCCAGAGGATTTGGCGAACAAGCTCCGTGAGGGGGGTACAGATATTCTCCGAGAGCGAACGGAGCTTGTGGGTGCTGGACGGCAGGAAGGAGAGAAGATTGTCACTAGTCCTTTTCCTTTCTTGGATGTCGCTAGCACGCTTATTCTGCAGTTGAGCGGAGAGTAGTCATGGTGTTACAAGACGGATAGACTTGGCGCTGTCGGTATGGGCTTTGTGAGACAGGGAAACAATGCGATATGCGTAGCATGGGATTCGTAAACTTTTAGATCGCGTATAGAGGCAGATGTACGAAGAGGCTTTGATACCAATGTAGTATATTATGCCCAATACATCTATCTTGATCACACGCCTTCTGTCATGTCATCATAATCATCATCATCATCAACGAGAACAACAACCATGCGTACATTTACAACTATACACAACCAGGAGCAGGAGAGGTATGGCAAACAAAAAAACGCCCTTTTGTTGCTCGATCGTGCATTTCGTGCCCCCAACTTTGGTCATCTTTCCAATCTCTGCGTCCACGCAGCTGCCTATACTAAATACACATTTTGGAACAAAGGGGTGAGAAGAGCGTAAGAGCAGGCCGCTTGGAGCAGAGAGAAAACAGCGTGCAAGGTGGCGTAGATAGGATGGAGAAGAAGGTGTATTATGAACCGGACGTGGGCATCTATCGCATGCCACCTGCGCCAAAACCGCCAGCAGCGGCGCCCATAGCACCTAGTCTTGAGGCGAGCTTGGGGTATTTTTCTTGTACCTTGAGGAAAGAGTTAGTACTTGCTGTTGTTATTGTCTCGGAAGAGCGTGTTTGGTGACGTACCTCAAGTTGTGTCCTGGTTGCCTCAGCATAGCTGAGTGCGTTGACGATCTCGCCTTCTGTCCTCGACAGCTCGGCAGCACGCTCAAAGTACTTGAGCGCCTCTGTAACCTTTCCTTGTTGCAACAGCAACTGTGCCATGGTGGCAACAGCAATGTCGCACTCTGGATCGATGATGAGCGCCTTCTCGCACAGCTTCTCGGCATCGTCGAAGTCGTTCTTCCATTGGAACAGCGCAAGGGCCTTGTTAATGAGGGGCAGGACGTTCATTCCGAGGGGCTTGCTCGTCTTCTCCATTTCGACAGCAGTGTCAAACTTCTCGATAGCCTCCTGGTACTTTTGCTGATCGAGAAGCAGTTCTCCGTAGTAGTTGTAAACGTCGGGTACCTGTGAGAAGTTCTTCATGCAGCGGCGGAAAGTGGCCATGGACGAGGCGATGCTGCCCATCTTGTATTGTGTGACACCAAGTTGGATGTGAGAGAAGATGAAGTCCTTGTCGAGATCGATCGACTTCTGGTAGTCCTTTGCAGCCTCGCCAAACTCGGACTTGATAAAGTGTAGTTGTGCGCGGTGGTAGAAGATGTCGGGATCGCTGGAGTTCTGTTCGAGGGCGGCGGCGAAGTCGGCTTCGGCGGCTTCTGGGTTAGCAAGCTCCAGGTGCATGCTGGCGCGCTTGATGAAGCTCTGTGTTAGTGTGGGCTGAAGCTCGATGCTCTTGTCCATGTCCTTGAGCGCGTCCTCGTTGTCGCCCTTGAGGTAGCTGAAGGTTCCGCGCATGTTATACGCGAATGCCTCGTGCTCTCCGAGATCTCCAAGCTCGACTGCGCGGTCGAAGGCTGCTGCAGCTTCCGTGTATCCATCGCCAGTCTTTGTTGCCATGGCCTTGAGACCCTTGCGCAGCTGGCCCTTTCCACTCTCCTCATCAAGCTCAGCGTCGTCTTCGAGGCCTTCTGGCGTTGGCTTCGGTCGGAAGCTCTGGAGGTAGTTTGTGACGAAAGTCGGGCTGGGCAACTTCTTCTCCTTGGAGGCGAGGATGGCCTTGCCCTTGGCATCGGCCACCTTCTTCAGCAGACGCTCGACGCTCTGTGCGCTGCTCTCGTTGCGGAAGCCATCGATGATGCAGCTCGCAGTGTAGTCAAGAAGGGCTTCGCTGTTGCGCTCGACCTGCTCGTATGCGTTTGCTCGTCGGTTAAGCGCCTTTACGTATTCGTTGTCGAGGTTGATGGCGGCAGTGGTGTCCTCGATGACCTTGTCCCACTCAGACATGGCATTGTAGCAGGCGGCGCGGTTCGAGTAGAAGACGGGATCTTGCTTGCAGAGGATGGCCTTGCCGTAGAGGTCGATGGCGCGGTTATAGTCCTTGGAGCCGTAGGCCTTGTTGCCTGCAGCCTTGAGTTTTGCGGCATAGTCTTTACGGTCCTGCAAGTCGTCAGCATTGAGAGATGGTTGATGACGCATGGGAGTGTCGCACCTCGTCTGACAGAGAGCCTACGCTGTTCTCGTCAACCTCGGGAAGCTGGTCTTCGGTTGTTTCTGCTACGGATGTCTTCTTCTCTGTTGCCTGGTCAGTCTATGCTGTGTTGTGGTGATGCATCTACCTACCAGAGTCTGCAGATGCCTTGTTGGGCGCCGAGTCCTTCTCGGCCCTCTCCTTCGCGCGCTTGCGCTCGCGTTGCCTCTTGCGCTTATTCGCTGCTGTGTCTGCTGCGCTGTCTCTTGAATCGTTGGAGAAGTAGTAGACGGCACCACCAGCACCAACGACCAGCGTTATACCTGCAATGGTGTAGACGACGCCCTTGTTCTCCGAAGCCCAATTCGACAATCGGTCCCATAGCGAGTTGTTGGTGTCGACAGGAATCTGGACTGGGAAAGGCCCCGGGCCCTGCGGGGCAGGTGCATTCACGGGCGCCATGGTCGGTGTGGTCAAGAGTGTATTAGGTAGATGGAGGTTTAGAGAGCCCGATATCGTAGTGCTCAATGGCGTTGGGCGGTTGTGTGTTGAGTCGCAGAAATTTGGGCTAGGGCAAGCTTGATGTGCAGCGACATGAACGCTGTCGGGCCCGCTCGGACGTCATCAGCCGGACCCACTTGAGACACTCGGCTAGTTCAGCGTCATAAGGATAGACTTGTTCCATTTGCACATGCTTTGTCTTACAAGACTCGAACTCAGAATGATTGTGATACGTCCTGATTCCCGAGATAGCTATTCGACGGACTAGATCTGGCCTGTTTTCCAGATCAGCGAACTTTGCTGGGTACCACATACATAGCAATCACGGTCCGATTATGAATGTATATACATATGTTATCAGCTAGACAGATGGAAGGCAGTTTCTGCTGGACAAATCTTGCATGAAGGGTTGATCATGTCTCCAAATCTTACACCGCGTCTTCCATCTCATTTTCAGATATAATTCCCCATCTTTCCCTCAGCTTCCTGAACCATATGTCTCTAGTGATAACCTTCTTTGTTTATCATGGCTATCTATAACAAGCCCAATAGAAAAGTACGCATATACCATTTGCTCCTTTTTTGTAATGACGGAAAGGCAGTTGTTAATTGAATGGCAGTGATCCAATACAAGTCACCTTAAGATCATATGCTCTTTCAACGCTATGGAACACAGATTACGTAGGTCCTTAGTATCATGCACAACCTGGGTTAATTGAAGATAGCCAAAAAGGCCAGAAGACACGGGCACTCCCCCTCACGATGGAGGTTTTTGGACACTTCCGTACTCACCCCTGCTAAGCTCTCTGCTGGTAAGCTTCGGATGTGCACGACCGCGAACGATGGCAACGAGTCCCTTTTTTCCAACTTGTGGAGGAAAAGTGCACATGATTTGCGCAACAATTGATTCAGACACGTCTGACAATCCATTATATATAAACATTACATACAGGTATGCAAGCATTGCTACCAAAAGGCCGCCTCACAGCATGCTCCTCCTCTTGGCCAACTTCTGATATTGTCGCGACGTCCTCGTATGACCATCTTCCATCTCATAGTCCGCTGACGCTATGCTACCCGGTCTTACAGTCGCAGGAGCTCTGAGGCTCTCTACACCACTTGCTGGCCGAAGCTTTGTCGGTGCGGAGTCTTTCCTGCTTAAGCGTCGCTTGATCACCTCGGATATGTGAGAGAAATAGCCATTGCCAGCTTTGACCTCTCGTGGAGCGGCTTGGTGTACCGGAACGTGGGTATGAGTATGGCCATGGCCGTGGGTGTGGTTATGCTCATGCGCGTGCCCGTGGTCACCAAGAAGATGTGACTTTTCGCCAGGTTCCATGTATAAGTGGCTACCCTCATGATTGACGAACCAATTCACCATGTATTGTTTGCCCTCTGGCCCACCGCCACAAGATCCAGCGAGAACATGTGATGGAGGAGAGTTGACAGCGAGGGCGAAGAGGTTTGGTGGTTCGCAAAAGTCCGTCACCAGTCCGCGGTGGAGAATGAAGTAGATCAGGACAAAGATGTTCATGGCGAAGACAAGTGCAAGTATGAGGACCCACGCTCTAGAAGCACCTGGCATGCCGCCAGATGCGTATTGTTGGGCTTTAAGAGATGCTTTGAAGAATTGAGTTTGATACTCGTCGAGCATAGGGTGTGTGTAGTTCTATAACCAGGTTAGCAAGCCTGGAAGAGGTAGAGAAAAGAAGTTTGCGTACCCAGAACGTCACAAAGGGCGTATCTATCATACTGAGAAGCAATGTACATCCAGCCAAGACAGCTATCGCCTCTCCTATACTAGGTATGGCATCGCTTAGATCCACTTTGAAACTTTCTGGAGCTGGGTCGCTAGGCTTTAGTATCAACTGTGTTAATAGCCTGGAAGTGCTCGCATTCGCATCCATGAGGCCTGTGCCGAGTGAAAGACTGTTGGCCCAATCAGTACCTATATCGCGCCAATTAGCCACGCCTTGGGTATTGACGCTGACTGTCTCTCCCGTCTCGACGAAAGCCATTTTGTCGTCACCGGGTTGTTCGCAAAGTGCTTCCATGGTAGCACCGGATCCTGTGACATTGTGTCGTGTACTGCATCCCGGTCGCACCATCAGGTGTATCTTGCATAATGAAAAGATGCCTGTTCCGTCCATGCCAACGTCATCTGGACCACCCTGCCCAAGCATATATATTGCAGGTCGTCCCCAGGCGTTGCTTGAATGATTCATGATCGTGTTGAAAGATATCGGGTATTTCGCAAAGACAGGCGGCCAGTTGAGTGTGGTTGTGTCATTAATGTCCCAGCCGAAAATCTCGTCGACCACAGTTCTATTGGTTGTGGTCGCGTTGTCTCGGATTCCGGGAATACTCCCCCACGAAAGGAGATCGACCGTTTCATTGTTCCAGGTGTCGTATACGATAGGCTCCAACTCCGTTTTATTCATGTTGACGCATAACACATTCAAAACTGGTGACGGTACCGAAGCACGCAACGAGTAAGTCCCTTCAGAATTCAACTCTTCGGGTTGCAAAATCCCATTTCTCTGGTCGCGGGCAGCAGCGAACACACCCGAGTGGGGCATTGCCATTGTTACGTTGTTGACAGCTCGACCGTACTTCTTGGATACTTCGGTAGTATTGATGATGTCGATCCACTGCCCACTGACCGTAGTATTCTCGTATAGAAGCCCGAAGCCCTGGGGTCGTAACTTCTGAACCACAGTACCGTTGCCATTTCTGGCTGATAGATCCCAATCTGAGAGGTAGCGTTGAAAGTTGTGGTATCCCTGACCAGCATGTTCCATTTGTAGACAAGTTTCTCCTTGAGCTACCTTGTCAGTTCGAATGGGTGTCTGGCACATTTGCTTGAGGTAGTTGATGTTTGCGAAATCGCTCTTAACACGACCAGCCAAGACCAGGCCATTGTCCCAGTTACCATCTCTTAGCATGGGCTGAACAGTAGCTGCAGCCGCAGACGAATAGAGTGTCGCTAGAATAGCGCTCAGTAAACTCAAGATACCCAGGAAAGACAGCCCAGCATACTTGGCAGCCTCCCAATGCGTGATTAGAGTTCCAGGCTGAACGACCCATCTCCACATGCTGAGTTCCGACAGCGTTACACCGCGACCATGGTCTTTCATGAACGCTCTTCGACTAAGCACCTGTCCAAGGAAGGCCACAAAAGCTGTGACGAAGGACAGCTCGATAAGTTTGGCCATGACAGTCGTAAGTAGAATAGCGTCAGATGGAGTAATGGGGCCGTGGCTTGTAATGCGCCGACCATAGTGAGGCGCGCGGATAGCCAAGGCTAGGAAGATTCCAGAAAATAAGCACGAGAACAACGAAATGACAATCAGAGACAAGTTAAGCCAGGTGAAGCGCGGATGATAAAAGTCTCGAGTAGTCGCACACTCATGTATTGGGCGAAAGTCGTTCTCATATGCCGACTTGATGGATGGAGCTGCCCCGCCTCCCCTGAGTCCCTCAGTATCTGAGGCATGTATGTATGTCTCGTAGTCGTTCACACTGGTGTTGCTTTGCTTTGCGTTCTTCAGTATGCCATGCCGAAAGTCTTCGTATGTGCCAACGTCCGGACTTGCCCTGCCAACGTCGGGGCTGAACCTGTCTCGTCGTAGATCTGGCGTGGACTCATTTGAGCTCTTGGGGAAGCCTCCAAAGTATGGGTCGGCCGAACCTGGAGGCGAGAAAGTGCCAGAGGTCTTTGTGGGTGGGCTTTTGGGACCAGGACCAACAGCTCGTCGGGGGATGGGTTGTATACTGACACGTCTGGCGGTCTGCGTAGTCGCACCAGACTGTGCTATCCCTAGCCCAGTATCCTTGCCTCTTTGAAAGTTTTCTGAAATATCCTCTTCCTCATCCTCTTCTGGTACGATGCTTGGTGTGTTGCGGCCGACAGCAGCGGTATCGTTCTGGTGCCGTGCGTAGTTCGGTCGTGCAGGCGGTGGGGTAGTAAGCCCCAGAGTGTGGGAGTTATTGGAGAATCCGAGCGAGGGCAGTGCGGGTGTGTTGTCTGAGCTCTCAGAAAGATCCGAGGACTCCTGCATGAGTGGCCGTCGATCGACCATGGTGCCTGGCGTGTACCACCCCTCTTTGTTGTCGCCTACGTTTCAGCCTTCTCTTCTTATAGTGCTCTTGCGGTCCGTATTGGCGGGAGGCTGCGTAGGGTCGCGTTTGCACAACCTAGGGCTGCAAGTGAGCGGCTCAGCGTGGGTGCGGCGGGAAGACTTCACGACAGGGAGTGGAAGAGATGGACTGTCGTAACAAAGTGAAATGACATGGTAAGGTCGGTCTGTGAAAGACCTGAGAGTTAAGGCTGGAGGGGATTACTATAGCCCGGCTATCCGCAGTTGTCGCACGCACGTTCAGCTGTCTCTGGGCGTCTGCAAGCTATTCGCTTGTGGCGCAGGATTACGGCCCCCAAACTACACCCAGACCCATCTGCTGTGCCCTGTGGTGATCCATAGCCTCCATATTACCTCGTACGACCGGTCGCGAAGACGCCGCTGTCAATCATTGCTGCTTGCGCTTTGCGAGCGCGTCTATCCGTTGGTGAAGCTTGACGAAGCCTATCCCTCTCTCCATAGTTTGCAGTGTGTACGCGGGCAGTAAAGCAAACAACCAGAGTCAGGCTGTAAGTCAGCGACATCAGGGTGTCTCAACAAGGCTGGTGCTGCATGGTGGCCCTTTGTGACAAGCCGTCGGGTGCGGCGAAGGGGGGGTACGCGGTGCCAGGTGGGTTGGAGTGTTGGTGTTAGCACGCGTCCCCGCAAACTCTCATGCCTCGCGTCGCGAGCTAATAAAAGCACGAACGAACACCAGAACTGAAGTCATCGCTACCAAACCCCTGATATTCTAACTTTCTAATATCCTACCCAATAGCCTTGACATGGTCATCCACCAGACACTTCCAATCCGCACTCCCATAGTAGACCGTGTGTCCATCGTCATGCGTCAGCTGTCCAGTACTCTTCACGGTGTCACCCAGCTGCCAAAACAAATCCGCCGCCATACCACTATCCTTTAACGACAGACTAGTCTTTTGCCAGCCACCCTCCACCGGACAATGATCTTCCTTCTTCGGCACACCATATTCTTCGAACAAACACGGCTTGTTGAGCTTCTTACAAATCTGCGCATGTGCCTTGATCCAGCCGTCGCCAAATGCATTGCTCACGCCCCAGCTGTCAGGGTAGAGGTGGAAGGTGCCGAAACTGATGTTTCCCACCTTCAAGTTTGCCTCCCAATCTATGCCTTCACCAAACTGGTAAGGATAGGAACCATCGCCCGGGAGACCGAAGCCTTCATCGCCGACGGTGATCATGTGGTCTGAGTCAAGAGAACGGATGTAGTTACTCGTCTTGCGGATCCATTCAGTCAGGACAGACGTCTGGCAGCCATTACAGCGCGGCTCGTTGGCGAGTTCCCACGCAAACACAGCATTGGAGTTGCGATAGCGGGCAATGACGGCTTTGATGTAACTCTGGTACATGCCCTGACATCTGGCCGCTGTGTACCATTGTGCGTTGCTGCTTACGCCGCAGGCGGAGAAGTAGGCGGCCATACCCCCATAATCGGTCCAGTTATTCACGAAGTTGATTATGAGCTTGATGCCGTGCTTTTCTGCAGCTTTGACTACAGCATCCAGGCGCTGGAGACCGTTTGTACCTGTATTTATGGTGGCAGAGGATCCGGAGAAGGACTGGAAGTATACTGTGCCAGAACCAGGGATGGTTTTGACGTCGTTGAAACCCCATACTCTGAGTATTTTCTGGCCTGACGTAGCAAGATGACCCATGATTACGTCGACATCATTGTCGTTCGTCAAGAAAGGGATCCAATAAGAGTTGGTACCAGCATAGTCTATGGTGTTGTGAGCGGTGCAGAATGATCATTAGTCTTCAAACTTACACTTCGTCACACCATCGATGTTGAACTTGAGGCCGTCGGCTTTTGAGATCGAGGCTCGTGGTGATAGACTAAATGTTGCAGGTAATGCCGCCGCAGCTGCGCATAGCGAGAGGATTGAAAGTAGCTTCATGGAATCGAGTCGCTAGTTGCTGGCGATGAGTGTCTAACTATCGTGTTCGAAAGAGCACTTATAACTGCTCATCACGACTACAGTCAATACCTACCAGAAACAGAACGGCACAAGGCACTCCGCTTCATATTAGATCATATGGCAATCGCATGTCGAAGCGGCTCTAGTTTGTGGGGTAGTATAGTAGCCAAGGCCGTGGTATAGTCGTAATTGGTGCACGGAAATCGAGCGGGGCTTCCATTCAATTACCACGTTTAGAATGAACGCGACGGACCGACAGCCTCCGCATCGCATCTAGTAGACTATTTCCCCTCAAGTGCCATGTGAAAGATAGGTTTGCGCAATGGGCGACAGTTGGGCAGAAAAGTCGGCGTCCATGGAGGCAATGTTTCTGAATTCCTCCGGTGCTAACCAACGATGTAATATATCCGCGACGATCTTTCCGGAAACCAGCGTGACAATGAAACGCGAATCATGTCCGACATAGGAGGCGGGAACGACAAGGCTAGCCATGATCACTCGATCAAGACTTGACAGTAAGAAGATCATATATACTTCTTCTGTGTGACGATAGAGACGTTCCAAACTGCAAGCTCAGCAGTCTTACTCCCACATAAGTCTGGCATTCTCAGGTTATTCGAGAAAAACAACAGGCTTGTTTTCGATGAAGTTCTCGTACAGGGTTTTCGAGCGCCTGTTGCGCGTTACAAGGCAGGGTAAATGAGTTGTGTACGCCCGTCTGGGACTGAAACGACCATGTGCGTCCTGGTCAAAATCGAGAATGTGATGAGGAGATGAGAGTTCAAAGGAAGAGTCGGCCAGCAAGATGAATTATTGCAGCGCCCGAACGAAGAAGAAATACTAGGGCCAATTCAGTAATCCGTACGATAATGGAGTTCATTGAACGGTGGTCGCCTACCGTAAAAGCAAACGGCCCCAGGTTTCGGACAATACTGGAACAGCGGAAGAAGTCATTGAGAAGAAGAAGGTTATTGTCCGAATCTGCCCTGCTGCTCGCTTTACCTAGATGATGTCGAGCATAAGGCTGCAGGACTGCACATGCGCACGGAAACGTCTGCATGCACGTCGTCAAGCTGAGATATCAGTGCAGGTCCTCGCATTTCATGTCCCTGCGAAGCGATACGGCCTAGGCCATTTCAATGTGACACGAAAGATTGGTGCCGGACCGTGTACCACTGAACTACTCCGGCACTTTGTGTCGAAAGACCAAGCCAAGGATAGCTATGGTGTTGTTTGGCCCTCCCATCTCCATACTAACGGTTGGAGAAGGCCTTCGGAGAAGTTCACCCTATGATTTCACAATTCTCTTGCTGTCTATTAAAGAAAACATTGGGTTCCTGAAGCTGTAGGGGATATGCTGACGAAACGCCATTTGGAAAGGGTGCCCAAGCTAGACAAGAATTACTACGTGTTAGTCAGATAGTTTTATCAAGGCGGTGATGGCATGGCAGATGCAATCTCGCGGGACGGACACCTAGTGTGGGGGTTGTTAGAGCTATGCAATGTAGACGAAGTTGACAACGCCGCCAACTGTCAGCAAGTCAGACCTCGATAGTGAGCAAACCACCGGTGAGTTTGCCTGACGTGGGCGGTCAATGTTGGATTCGAGTCATCCAATAGTGGGACAAATATTCGGGGTCACGATCCTTTTGGTAGGCGCCGTTTTGCGCCTTGCCAACTCGGAATATTCACACAGACCGTCGCATGCTCGATGATGCAGTCCATCCTGACCTGACTGAAATCGCGCACTGCCTCCAATGCCATGCAACCGGCATCTTGCTTATGGGTTGCAGAGAGCTGACCTGGTGTAGCGATGCACTGAACTAAGATCTGGGCTAGTGCCGTCGCGTGGCGTAGCCGAAGGTAGCGTCAAGGACGATGACCACGAGTCTGGTGTTGCTTGTCTTAGTCCCACACGAGGCGTGGCGTAAGACGTGGGCATCAGTATCGATAGTCGAAAGCGCACGGCGTAACTTGCCGTTCCAGCTAATGCCCCGCAGTGTCGCCGTTGAAGCCACAAAAGGACATGATCAGGGACATCGTACTAAACGAAGCAAGGAGAGGTCTGTCCTAGGGTGCGTTTCAGACCCAAATTTGAGGATGTGAATGTAGAAGAAGAATGAGACAAGAGGGCAAAGCAAAACGTTGTGTTGTATCATCCCACACATCAGCTCTTCTCCAGGATAGCCCTGGAACGTGCTGCACATTGAGGCTCGGGCCGGTTAGGGCCGGAAATGTGACCTGGGCTATCAAGTCTGACCCCGGGTCCGCGTACACGGTTGATCGACCATAGCGGCCGAACGCGTACAGTATCGAATTTTCCGCGCTCGGCTGCGGCAGAGCGCTCTCACTGACAAGGATGCTGCACCTCCTGAATAATCTTCGTGTTGGTCAGGCGAAACAGTGCGTGACCGGTTGCTTTGCGCTGAATGCTGCTTGATAACCTGTATTGTATTTGTGCTACACATCTCAACGGAGACTGGCCGCAATTAGAAAAACAATCGCATCGTTCATGGAATTACTTAACGTGGTGTTGCCGAAGACTACCGAATGTCCGTGCTGGAACATTCAAATGGGTGTACGGCATGAAATTTGACAGCAAAGGCTGATCGTCCGTTGTCCGCGGCTCACCACCAGGGCGATATGACACGAGAACCAACATCTCGCGAGAGTATCAGATGGAAACAATAGGCACAAGAAATTGCCGTTCTTACTGGGAGTTTGCTCTGCCAATGACATCCTGTCGAGAATGACGCACAAGCATTTCAGCCACCGCCGATTCCGACTTTCTAAGGCCCGAGCCCTGCGAGCACCGTCACAGTTCCTCACCTCAGCCTCTCCCAAAACAAAATCTCGCCAAGGCTAGGCGGAAGCGGGGGGTAGACCGCGGTGCCCTAAAATCTCCTGCTTCTCTTGCTCCCTGTGATTCCAGAAACTAGCTGGCTTTCTTTGAGCGTCGTTTGTTGTCCCCAGGTCTCCCAGTCGCCATGAGTATTCGGATAAATGCGACGGTGCAAGAGGCCCGAACAGCTGCAAACCACAGCCAGGAACAATGGGACCGATTCTACGTAGGTATGCTCTTGTCGCAAGGGTATGCTTGGCTAACGAGACTAGTTCATAACCAAAGACGAGGCCAGGCAGCTTGCGGAGGCGCACCCTGACTGGAAAAGATGGATCCTCATCCCCGCGAACGAGAAAGAACAAATGCTGGAGAGGATCAACACCCGCCTTCGAGCTGAGGGTATTCCACCTGTCGAGATGATAATTTTGAAATGGCGGGTGTCGCAACTGCTCCGAGACATCCAACGGAAATACGGTATGTGCATTGGTGCCCGACTCTGGTGACTCGACTTAGCGGTCAGCTATAGGGACACACTGTACAAGTACATTAGCTAATCCAAATGATTTGCAGAAGCCGGCAGTATGCTACAAGGAATGCCGGGTACGAGCTCAGGGTCAGGGTCGGGGTCACCAATACAAGTACAGACAGCCCAATCGCCTCCGGACAGCAGCGTTCAGTCATCGAGCCCACAGCGAACGGAGTATTCACCAAGCGAGACTCGTCCATACGACCCAATACGGGATGTGTAGTACCCAAGCCATCGGAGGAAATCTGTCTTTTACAGTGCGCGTTCAATTTCGAGAAAGGAACACCCGACCAACATTCGGTATTCGAGCCTGATACCCCAACCGCACAGCGCGGTATGGATAACGAGGATAGAGCGAGCTAGCGAAACCACCTCACAATGAGACGGAGCGCGATAGGATCCAGCAAGCTATCTTTGTTCGATCGCTGCGGGAGGCTTCGAGGAGACGCATCGGCAAGAGACATCGATTCGTGAGAAGCCGACTATACGACCGCAGTGTTCGGTGCGGCTACACCGAGAGCGGTCGACTCGATCTTGTGTATAGTGCTTTGGTACGTAGCCCAGGCAGTGCTGAGGGTGTGGTGTGCCGTCCAACCCAGCTCTTGCCTACTTCCAATATCTTTTGCTTTTCCCAGTACCTGCAGTCTTCTAAACTTCTCAATTCTCCGATGCTGGCTACTCATTATTGATTGGTACACAGCCTGCACTTGGTCTTGGCGTGGTGGCTTTTCCGTCCGCGTGCATTGTGCATATGGCCCAATCTCGAAAGAGTCGGAAACAGTACTAGGTTCTAGACCCTGCGTCCTATTTTCCGGTCCCCTCTGGCGTTTTCTTTTGACACTGCGTACTTGCATATCCCAAACTAAGAGCACTGCATCGCAGTAATAAGAGTTATCACAGCTTTGTATACTGTGTTGTTTCAAGGGCACAACTCATTCGCTGCTAACAGTCGAAGATAGTACCACTTGCATCCATGGCTCGTGCCAACGTCGTCGCAGGGTAAGGACCGATGACGGTAGAGTCGAGGTGCGTAAGCGCAACGCAATCTTGTATGACGCAGCTGTAGACAGCATGACGGCGTATTCTTTGGAGCCGTGACCAGAATCCCTCGGTTTTTTTGTTTTTTTTTGGATGTTCCTGCTGCCGTGTGAGCTGCTTACCATGTGGGTCTGGTTCTTCTCAGAGGCACTCCTGTCCGTCGCTGGGAGTGCAGGCAATGGATAACCATCACCTGCAGAACCAGTCGGACATGCCTGGAGTGTCGCGATTCAAGGTACCAAAGGGCTACAGGCGTGCACGCCTGTTCTCGGCTCGCTGGCGGAGAAGCTCTTGCGGGAGCGTCGTGACATCAGAGAGAAATCGCACGTTGGTGTGGCAACTATGCCATCGTGTCGGAGAACATGAGCAGGTATGGCATCTTAGATGGCAATACCGAGATGGATGATAGATCGATGATGAAGATGAAAAGGTCGTGAGGGCTGGTGACAGAACGTGTCCGACGTGACTGCCTCCAAAGTATGGTACCCTAGCAACTAGTACTCCCCTCATCCATGTCAGAGGGCAGCCACACCCACATCCCATCTTCAAACTCTTGTAGACAACGGCCTTTTG